ATATACCTAACTAACTACAAAATTAAGGAATATAACTTTAATTACCTAGAAAAATTTAGGGCGCCGTATATATAAATATACATTAATTATACGGGCAATAGAATTAGCGAGGTAGAATTTAATAAATAGGTAATTTTTATAAATAACTCCCCCTTATTATTAATACTAAAATTATATTTATAGAAAATATATGAGTTAAAAAAAACTTAATTAATAGTACTATCAATACTATTTATAATATTATATAGCGTTAAAGTATTGAATTTCGAAAGGTTCCGCCTTATACCCTATTAATATATTTCTTTAACTATAATAGCCTGGCCTATTTTAAATATAAGAGTCTTAATACCAAAATCGTACCTATTTTCCGCTCTATTCGAAAATATATAAAAGGATTTACCTTCTATACTAGGAGGCAATTCCTAATACTATCGCTTATATTATTATAATATACAAATCGCAAAGTATAACTATAAATATCGCTATTTTCGATATATTTAGGGATAATTTTGTACTTAGCTTAACATATATAGCTATTTCGAAGGTAAAAACGTTATAAAGTATTATATTCGACTATCCTTTTAATATTAATACTATATATATAAAAAATAGTAAGGCTCAACTTAAATACTATATTAACGTTATTCGAAAGCGGCCTTAACGGATACTACTTGTTATTCTTATAACGGAAATATAATTTTATTTTCGGATTTAGGCATTTCGACTCTATCTAACCGATTTCGCTTATATATAGCCGATACCCGTTCTTATATAAACGTCGGCTGATTTTTATCTTATTTATTGATATACTATAAGTAATAGCCTTTTTTTCTTTTATATTAATTAATTCATATACCTTAACTTTTAAATTAAACCCTATTCCTATGTAAGTTTTAAACGCTCTTAATATTAATAAATACGTATTCAATCTACTAAAATAGTTAAATATATAGCGGAAACCCCGTCGTTACTACCGATACTGCCCAAAACCCCGAACCTTAAACGTTGGAAAATTACTAACGAAAAGGCAATTTTAACTTATCGAAATTAGATTTTAATAAATCCTAGCCCAATTACGCTAATTACAGTAAAACAATCCACGGACGGCTTAAATATAATTTATTTTATAAAGAATACACTAATTTACCGCCTTTGTATAGGGATAATTAGTTTGTATTTATATAATTGGCTTATTAGCTTATATATTAGATTACAAATAATAATAATAGCTTTATTACCGAGCCCAATTCTATTATAAAAACGTTACCATTAAAATACTTTTAATTCCGCGGAAATCTCCTTATAGAGTAGTTAATTCTTAAGGAATTATTATCGTCGGGATTAACTTCGGAATAACCTTTTCTAGTACTTCTTTTATTTAATCCAATTAAATTAATAAAATCGAAATTATAATTAATTAAGACGTAAATTCAAATAATAATATAAACGAATATACTACTAATTTATTTAATCCTATTATTAATAGTACTAAATCTTTAGCTTCTATTATTAATAATACTACTTCGCCTAATCTTATTATTAACATAGCTAATTTAATTATTTATTACTTTTACTATCTTTATCTCTTCTTATAATAAAGATTATAACGAGTACTCTAAATTTTAATACGCTAGCCGATATCTAATAATTTTTTTAAACCCAGTATAATAATTTTAATAATATATATTAACCGCCGAAACTATTAATTTCGAATAGTCTCTATTATTTAACTCGTTTAACGAAAAGGCTAACCGTAATGCCTATATATACTAGTCCGGTAATACTCTTTCCCTTCTAATAAAGGAGAAGACGCTATATAAACCTTCTACTACTTTTTTTTAATAAAATTCTCGAACGCGTTTCTTACTTTTATATACGTATAATACCTATCCGGTCCGCTAAATTATAAAATAATTATAATTACTTTATTACCGAACTCAATTAATAATTAATCTTTCTACTAGGTTAACCCGGACTATAATTTCTATAATAAAGCGATTAACGAACCCTTAAAAAAGCTTAATACCCTTAAAACGCTGGAAATAATCCTTAAATTAAGAGAACCGGGAATATTACTTCAAAATTTCTTGAAACTTTCGTCGAAATATATAGAAAGCTTCGGGACGAAGGTTATAATATATTAATTTATTTACCGGATCAATTCGGACTATAATTACCAAAATATAGCCGTAAGAATATTTTCTAAAATAAATAAAGCGGTTACTAAAAGTTTTAGGTTTAAAGAAGTTTTATTTATGGGATACTTTACGCCTAGAAAAGTAATTTTATTAATATAATTTAAATAAAAGATAAAATTACCGAATATATAACGATAATAAAAGACTTCTTTAAATAAGAAATGTAAGCGCTTTATAAAGTTACCGAGGCTTTATTCGTAGTAATAATTATAGTTGCTAGCTATAGAACCTTTTAATTCTTAGTAGTTATTAAACTATAATATTATTTATAATTAGAAATATATTGTTAATAAAATTATTTATAATAATAACTAATAAGCTTTTACTCTATTTTTACCATTCTTTTACCGTAGAAAATATTATTTTAAAACTTCTATCTCTCGTTTCGATTAAAGTTTCCCCGAACCAAATTCCTAACGTACATCTAATCTCCCCTTTAATTAATAATAACGATAATATAAATTACGTACGAATAGAAAAGGCGTATTAACTTCTTCTTTATAAAAGGGGGGAGTTCCTTCCTAATATATATCTAATCTCCCTTCTAATTAGTAATAACGATAATATAAATTATATATAAATAGAAAGAACGTATTAACTTCTTCCTCGCAAGAAGAGGGGTAAAGGTGGGAAAATAAATTAATAAATAAAAAAATCATATTAAATTCTTCTTTACAAGGGGTAATAGAAGTAGGAAAAGGGATTAATAAATAGAAAGGGTATATTAATTTCCCTCGTACGAAGGGGGTAATATACTAGGGTATAATATTAAATCTACTCCTAACTAAACGTCGACCGAAAATATCGAACGGAAGGATTTAATTAGTATAGGTATAAAGTTCAATTTAGGGTAGGATATTTGGGTTACTCGATTATTTGGAAACGATTCGGCCGTATATAGTCGGCTTAGCGGGCTATATATTTTAATAAATAATTTATAAATTTAACGTTTGATTTTTATTACCGTAATTACTTAGTAAATACTATTTAGGTAATTACCTACCTTAGCAATTACCTACCTTCGTACTTTACGCTGTACCCATACCTTCGCCGGCAACGTATTTTATTTACTATTTAAAATTATTCTAACCTTTTCCCTTCCCCTCCTTTTTCTTTAAACTAACCTACTTAATACTATATAAATTATAATTAATTACACAATCAATCCATTTAATTAACCCATATATTTAAGAATTATTATTTCTATATAAATATAATATTTTCCAAACCTTTTACTCCACTTATTAACTTTATCCCCAATTTTAACTAACTGCTTACCCCCGTCCCTACTACCCTTAAACGCTATCGCTCTAATATACCCGCTATTCCGGCTACTCTAACTACTCTTAATTATAAAGTTTAATTACCCGTCCCCCCGCTCAGCGTCTACTTCCCTTCGCATACTAAAAAGTACGCCGAAACTACTATTATTACCCCCTTGGTAAAAAAGAGGAAAATTATATATTTATACAATATATAATGATATATTATTTAATTTAATATACTAATTACCTAATATTTAAAATACCAACGATATTAAAAATAACGCTAACAACGTTGCCCTCCATAATAATACCCCCAACGAGGATAATAAAGAGGATAACAATAATAATAATAATAATAATAATAATAATAATAATAATAATAATAATAATAATAATAATAATAATAATAATAATAATAATAATAATAATAATAATAATAATAATAATAATAATAATAATAATAATAATAATAATAATAATAATAATAATAATAATAATAATAATAATAATAATAGTAATAAATTATATAGTATATTGTATATTAGCCTATACCTCTATTATATAAAAAATAGGCACTATTATATCAAAAGTAAGAAAGTTAAAAGTAAAAAGTATTTCGTTTATACTAAGGATAAAATCCTTTACTTCTCCGGTTACGCCAAGATATATATCGTTTATTTTATTCTATAAAATTTAATAGAAGTCTTTAATAGCGAAGTCCCTACTAATAATAATATTCGTAAATAATATAATAATATATATAATACTATTTACCTTATAATTCGTATAGAAAAGTAAGGAATCGTCCCCAAATAAATATTTTATCTATTTTTATATCTATATATTAATTATAAATATTATTTAAAATTCTTATTTTTATAAGGGTTCCTTTGATTACATATTTAGTAAAGAGACTCCTATAATCCCGCGGATCTATAATAATATTACCCGTCGTCTTATTTCTTTAGTCTATAGCCGCTCCGTTATTCCGGATTTTAATAATTCCGTTACTATTACTTCGGCCCGCCCTCCCTAAACCTCTACTAGTTACTCCAATTACCCTATTCTTCCAGCTCTCCCTATTCCTACCCTTACTTTTACTTTTATAAGCTACCCCGTCCCCTCGGCCCTCCCTATCTCTACCCCTATCGGGTACCCTAACTACTACGTCGTCAACAACTATTTTTTTAAAATAAAGGTAAGGATTAAGGAATTAGAGAAGGAAAAGGATGAGAGGAAGAAGGAGGAAAAGAAGAAGAAAAACTTAAATAAGGCTATTAATCGTACCCTCAGCAAATATACCTTCAGTAGGAAAGGTAACGTTAGGCTTAATGCCTTTATTTTCGACCGCAATTCCAATAGTAGCACTAAGTGGGATTAGTAATAATAATAAAGATAATAATAATAATAAGGAGGATAGAGATAATAATAATAATAATAATACCTAACTTTACCGTATTTTGCCTTCGGGTTTCAATATTAACTTTACTATCTCTATTCTATATATACCGTATTCTATACTGTAAAATGCTTTATCTTAATTAATGCCGTCTTTAATATCGTTGTCTTCAATATCGTTGTCTTTAATATCGTTGTCTTTATTATCGCTGTCTTTATTATCGTTACTTTCGATACTACTTTTAATATTATAACTTTCAATACTAACACTTTTAATATCATTACTTTCAATACTATTTTTAACATCACCACTTTCAATATCATTATATTCAATATTACTTTCAATATCATTACTCTTAATACTATCTTCAACATCACCACTTTCAATACTAATACTTTCAATATTATTACTTTTAATATAATCACCTTCAACACTATTTTCAACATTACCACTTTCAATACCAATACTTTCAATATCATTACTTTCAATATTACCTTCAATATCATCACTCTCAATACTATCTTCAACATTACTACTTTCAACACCAATACTTTTAATATTACTACTTTCAATATCATTACTCTCAACACCACCTTCAACATTACCATCCTCAAACTCATTACTCTCAATACTATATCCAGCATTATTACTTTTATTATTATTATTATTATTATTATTATTATTATTATTATTATTATTATATTAACGTTAAACTCTACTATATAAACTTACCTCCCATAAACTCTATTACTAATTCTAGGTAACAACTAGCTATAATAATTCTATAGCTTAGGTAGGGGTGAACTATACCCTTACCTATAGAATTAATTCGGATCGGCTTCCATTCCCGGAAAACCTCAACTCCGCTAGCTCGACCCTCGACTCTCTAAACTGACTTCAACTCCCTAGACCCAGATTCTAATAAATAAATAATAAAAAAATTTATATACTAATTCGAATACCCTCTTAACAAATATACTAACTTTAATATAAATCGTAAACCCGACTATGAAATAATACTAATTATAGCTACTATACATTAACCGCAAGGGTAACCGAACTAGGGTAACTGAATTAGGAAAAACCTACCTATAAAAGTCCTATAGTATAGTAAGGCAAAGAGATTAAGGTATAGGTAAATCTCGGGCTATCCCTCGGAATAAGCTTAGGAAACTCGTTCTCTAGAAATTTAGGATAGGGTTCGCGCTATAAGTCCTAAACTCTTTTTTACTAAATTTTCATCTATATTTCACTTTTGTTCAATTTTAACTTAGAGTTTTATAATAAGATTGAAATTCAATTTAGGGTTTATAATTGGGATATAATTTAGCGTTTATAATAGACTGCCAAAATTTGAATTGGTAATTGAAATATAATTTAGCGTTTAAAATAGACCGCCAAGTCTTCGTTTTTATAATTGAAATCTAACTTAGGGTTTAAAATTAAAATATAACTTGTAGTTAATATAGACCGCCAAGTCTTCGTTTTTATAATTAGGATTCAACTTAGCATTTACAGTAGACCGCCAAAATTTGAGTGTTATGATTGAGATTAAACTTAGCGTTTATAGTAGACCGCCAAAATTTGAGTTGGTGATTGAGATACTACCTTAGACCTATAACAGCTGCGCTTCAGTCAATTTTACCGGGCGCCCCGGAAGACGATGTTAAGGGGTACGTATCGGGACAAAGCTGCCAGAGTTCCGTGAGGGCTGTCGAGCATTGCAACTGTGATTCGCAAATATCGGCCGCCCAGCCCGACGATTCGCCGGCGTGTAACCTTTGTACCTGGCATTGGAACATGCAATGGAACATGAAACCCATCGCAACGACGACATGAGTGGAGTACGTCAATGTACAGACATACAGTTCAATGCTGGTTTGATTGTTAGCGCGGTTCTTGAGACAGGGGTCTGCAAAAGTACACAGAAAAACAACGGGACAACCACATTCTAAACGGAAAATTGGACAGAGTGTATAAAGCGGTCAAACGCATCTGGTTGATACCAACTTGTTGCATCAAATTTGGTGCAATGGTGGTTGAGTTGCAAAGAGTGCGTAGTGAAGTCCCGCGCTAACAATCAAACCAGGGGTGAACTGTACACTACATCATTTCAAACATTGGCGAGTCTGCGGGTGTTCTGCCAGAATCTTGTCAAGAAGTCTTCGCAGACATTATGTCTTGAGGTCATCGTCAATATTCAAGATGATCATGTTGAATGGGAAAGTTTACTGAGCGATCGATGGCAAAATGCCAGCATCTCACTTTCACTTGGAATCATAGGATAATAAGGCAAAAGAGCCTCACGTACACCTCGCCACATGGCTGCAGATGAGATTAAACTAAAACAGAGACGGTCTCACTCTTACACACCTTTCCTATTCAGTGTCTCCATGAGCTCGAAAAAGCAAAACCACAAAACAAGAGCAAGACGAACGGGGTTAACTTTTAAGTGCTTTTATGAAAACCAACGCATAGGAAAACACAGATCGAAAAAAAAGGAAAATGAGTCTCACTCGCATCTCGCACACTCACCTACAGTGTCCGCGTTATCGCCCAGCACCAGCACCAGCACCAGCACACCGCGCCATCCAAAGGCATAAGGTGTGTGCCGTTTAACCTTTACGCACCTTACGACGCTAGTGTGAGCTGTGAGGGTGGCATTGAGCGATTGAGGGAGCAGGACCTGCGGTCCGAAGCGCGAAACAGCCAGCATCCATTCATCCATTTTAGTATCGTCCATCCATCCATCCATCCATCCAGGCCAAACATGCATGCCGATACTGTAGAGTAGTAGAGTAAGTCTTGCCTGAATTAGGTTCTGATGACAAGATAATGATGAGAGACTATGACTTCATGTGGAAAGGAAAAAGATGATGAACGAAAGACCAAGGAACTTTCGTGGGAGTCCGGGCTCCTCCTTGGCTGAGTTTGAAGGGGAATCAGATCATCCAGGGTGTTAACAATCCAGTATTTGACCTCACCTCATCAACAAAAGTGTATCAATCTCATCTTTTATCCGGAGACTTTTGTGTAAACGGAGACCTGGGCATTGACAATGGCCATGGAATGACGCACGACCGCTTTCCTGAAGGAACAAGTTACCCAGAAAAGAACTGATTTACACAGGCTCGCCACGATATATGAAGACAGGCTTAGAAAGACCTGCATGGATTCAAAGCATGCCTTGATTAACCTGTCGCCAAACAATGGCATGAAGTCACCCAACAGGTGCGTTCCATGTTCCATGCCCGTTCACATAAAAATGTAGGTATGGTATAGACATCACGCTGCCCAAATCTTTCTTTCCTGCTCTATTTTTTCCTTCGTACTCTCCTTTCATTCTTGCCTTTCTAGTCTGTCTACCTCTTGAACGCTGCTCTCGAAGTTGCTGCTTTTTCGCTATCATTTCTATCTCATTAGTTCTGATCTGCCCCGAGGAAAGGAAAGGGGTGAGTGCAATGGGTCCTGCAAGCTCCATCTCTTCCTCATTCCCTTTCTGATTATCCTGTGCCAAAGCCCGGCCGCTTTCGGATCAAGACCCCATTGCCTTAGCAAGCCCTTAGCAAGCACATCCCCAGGTGCCAGCAACTCAGCCCCCGGGCAGCGACTGATCGTCTATTCCAAATGCCCATGATCATTTTCTATCCTCCACTGGGTTGCCCAATCGAGAGTTCCTTTTTCGCCTCCTTCTAATGAGTCAGCAATCAGCAAGCGCTGGCTGCTACCGGCCAAGCGGGAAGAGGACCCGCATCCGCATCATGGTCGTCGGCCTTCGGAGATGCCTCCATCAACGACAGCAGATAAGGGATCGTGACTGGGCCTGGGCCCCAGCTGGGTGCAGAACCAACCCAAGTTTCTCTTGATCTCTCCACCCATCCATCCATCCATCCCTGATTCCCTCTGATCGTCGCCTCCTACACTGCCTCTCTCCCTCACTGTGTTAAGAGCTGAGAGGCGTATCGCTTGGCCACAGTCCCTCCTCATTTCCACAGTTGCCTCAACCCTCCACCTCCTCTCTCACACACGGAAGACCTGAGTTCGGCTCTTGATGCCGTCGAATACGCACGTGTTGTCGATGGGGATGTACTGCTTGGTGATGATCTTGATCATCTCCTGAGCCACCATACCACCCGTGAGTGCGGAGATGTTGTGTAGCTCGCCGTACTCGGCTCGGGCGAGGTCCTCTGCAACATTGTCCATCTTCTCCTTCAAGTCCCCGTACTCCTCGCTTGATAGATCATCGGAGAGCAAGCTCTTGACGGCTTCGACGATCTGCGTCTTGTCGGCTGATGCGTTGCCACAATACGCCAGACCCCTCAGAGCCAGGTAGATGGGGAAGAGCGACATGGGCTGTAATGTCATTTCCGCGACTTGGTCATTGGCCATTTCCGCTCCTGTGGCAATATGTTAATATATCACTCCGATACTTCATCTTCTTTCCGGGGTCTAGGAGCTCATGATGAAGCCCGCGGTTGCAGTGAGCAACACACAGGGGTTCCATCCATCACCAAAAGAGGAGAGATGAACTTACGAAGCACCTGTTGAAGCCGCTCTTTGCTTCCAAGAGGGGTAGCGTCTCCTCCATCCTCCACATTGATCAGCTTGACGAATGCTGCGTTCTTGCAGAAGAGGTCGACTTCTGCAGGATCCACCTCTCGTCCCGCCCCCGCAATCGCTTGTGCCGTCTGCAGGACTTCGGCCGCGTCCTTGCGAGCCTTGGTCTTGTAGATGTTCTGGAGTTGGACGTAGACCTTGGACTGGGCCTTCATGTCCGGAACATTGCCCGGAAGTGGCAGGGAGCCGTGCTTAGTATAGAACACCTTGACCGCGTCCGCGATGATCCAGAACATTGACCTCTCTTGGATCTATAAGCATCGTGTCAGCAGACATGGTCTTTACCGAGGAAAATCTGCGGGGAACGTCGCAACGTACAGGGTCCTTGTGCTCGTACTCAAACACCTCCTTTAGTCCTGATGGTAGAGAAAAGGGCGCGACCGTTTTTAGAACGGCAGCAGCAGCCTCGTCGAAGTTCTCCTCGCCACCCTCGGGATTGTCTGTCCTGGCAGCATCTCGCACTAGCTGCCTGAACTCTGTCTTCTCCTTATAATTTGAGGGGTAGGCGCCATTGTGTGTTGCCTTCCATTGATCCAAGTAATGAAGCAATATTACCACGTACGGCAGGTGACCATGCTCAAAGTTGTCTAAGCCGTCGATATCCTTGGTCATATTTTTGGCAAACTCGACCAACTCGGGCCAGGGGTTGAGGAGTCGAAGGTCTGTGGTTGCCGTCTCGTCTGGGTGAGTGTCGACTATCGGGAATGTTCCTGGGGGTCTGACGGTAAAATACGAATAAAAGCCAGTCGAGTGGATTGCTATTAGTGGCGTCTTGTGTTCTTTGCTGTATTGTTCGAGGGACTCCAGCTCGACATGGTTGATAGGATATGTGTACATGATGGCGGTGAATAAGGGTGACTTCTTGAGGAGTGACCCCAGTGAGTCGTTCTGCTTCCGTCAAGTTAGTAGTGAGCTTCACAGCAGAGTTGGGCCATGCCCTCTTGGTTCCGTTACCTTGGTCTTTGGCGACCAATCTCCCTCTACTTCCGGGTTCAACTCCCCAAGCAGGCTTGCCAGGCACTGTGCTCGGGGTTTTCCATAACAGCCATCGTCCAAGAAGAAGTTGACACCCAGATCGGCCTCGTCCACCAGCGCATTGTCGTGAATCACGAACCGCCCGATGCCTATAGTTGTTCATATCAGCATCGGAGAGTTCTGTTGGTCTGATTGTGGCGATCTAGGGCCGAACTGGAAGTAGCACAGTACCTGGCAGGATAAGGTTCTTGAGGGTCTCGACACCCACTGTGCCAGCGCCAGAGTTCACGAGCAGGATGTTTGCCGACTCAAGGGCGGCCTGACCACTCGCTGCCCATAGGCGCAACTGGCGATCATATTTCCGTTCTTTTTCAGAGGGGCCCTGAAGAAGGGGCGGCGTCTGGTCCATTACAATCTCAGTCATTTTGGATTATAACTTTGTACAGCTAATGGTACCTCTGTCGCGACCGAGAAGAAGCTGTTACGTAGTTACGTAGGTCGTGGTTGTGAGGTCGCGAAGCGGTGGGGTTTGAGAGCCTCTGGTGGATCACCACCTTGCTGACAACGGTTGGAACAGCTGCAGCACCGCCACGGGGAGGGGTCGCTTGGGGAGCTTAGCGTGCAGCTACGCGTGGCGTATGTGGCTGGTGAAGGAACCTTGATGGCTGCCAAGTTGTCACGCGTGTCTGGATTTGTTGACATGAACCACTTCGCGATACTTTCATAGCACTACCAAGTATCGATACAATCAACGATATGAGATGCAGAGTTGTGGTGCTGCTTGAGTACAGAGCTTTAAACAGCGACTACGTCTGCAATTCCCTCCATAATTCGGTCCTTCTCATAGTCGGCTCATGCTGCAAGTGCAACTAATCTCGGTCTTCAACTGGCATCGAAATTCGAAACAAACAACGAGATTTCATCTGGACGCGGACTTGCAGCAGATTATCTGTTTATCATCAAGCTTAAGACTTCAACCTCTTTCGTCAAGTGTCCATACAAAGTGGGCTGAGATGGCTTCTTCCAACTCACGTCTAGATATCTCCATTTGCTCCGTCTTAGTACTGGAATCGAAGTCCGAGTCGGTCTGATTCGGCATGATGCTGCCCGGCCCGCTTGTGGCTACGGCTCGCTCCTTCTCAAAGAGCAACACTTGGCAGGTGGTGTGAGCAACACTTGATGGTTACAAATGGAAGGCGCGTTACAGATGCCATCACCCAGAAGTCACGCTCGTGCATTTCTTCCCTCGAGTTTGTTGCATTTCCTCGAAAAATGTCATCATGATCAGTTGCTCTTCTCCCGGCTTCCAATTCTTCGTCTCAGACGTCCTGCTGTTAAAGTGCATTCAGTGCCCTTCTCGGGCTGATCTTTCCATTACCCCTTCTCGCTCTTTCACATCCAACTTCACCACTCACGATTCTTAGCTGAAAAGCGATGGAGCAAGATCTGGCCTGCAATGTTAACAAATGCGGCGCCCAGTTGACGGGTCAAGCCCTGGTGACTGCATGCAGGTCGGTTGGCAATTTGATACTATCGTCCCAGTCCATCCATTCAGCTGACAATTTCCTAGCCATGCAATATGTATGGACTGCGCAAGTCGCCACGGCTTCACCAGCCAGGGACCCTATACCTGTCCTGTTTGTCGTCAGCCCCTGAATGAGGCCGAGACAGGTAGACAGCTTCTTCGTCCATCAGAAGAGTGGAAATCCGTCATCTTGTGTGGCCTAAGTCCTACGGTTGTCATGGAATGCGCAGGAAGAGCCCTAAGTTTCTGGTCGTATCAGATGACAAACCAAATGTCGGTCTTGACATTCCTCGCCGCTCTCTGATCATCTACTTTATTGGGCTTTCAGATGCTGACATCCAGAACTAGTCTTCGTCAATCTCAGATGAACAGGAATTTGCAGCTTCACTGCGTCTCCCTCGAGCGTGAAGTCGAGAGCGTGTGGAATCAAGGAAACACCAGGATATCCACCTTGACGGCGAAGATCAAAGGTATTTCCACGCTGTCCATCTCTCTTGCATGCTGGTCACAACGGGCTGACAGTTCTGCCAGACATGGAACTCGAAGAGCAAGGACTCCGTCGAAAATGTGAAGACCTCCGCCGTACACTGGCCGAAAAGAGCAAGAAGTTGGAGCAGGCTCAGGAGCTCTACAACAAACTTAAGCAAAAGGTGTTGCTAAGCCAGCCAGCCAACGATCCGGCTGATGTCATGGGCTCGAGGATAGGCCCAGAGACGAATCGGTATGACCTTCAAGGACAGAATTCTGGTGGGATCGGATCGAGAACCAACTACTTCCCCGATGACTCAAGGTCATCGAGAAGGCATTCGGGTTCAGAAAGCTTGGACAATTGGAACAAGCCCATGGACCCCCAATGTAAATCTTCACTCTTACTTCGCTACACTGACATAACACTGACCAATCTGCAGTTCCTATACCCGGAACCCCAGCTAGCCACATGTCGATGGGTGAGCCAGGCTCTCGTTTCTCATCCATGCGAGACTCTCTCAGTAACACTTTGCCGGCAATCCCTCGCTCGGGTCGTTATACCCAATCCAGCAGAGCGAACAACCATGCAACGGGTAGCAATATTGGGCGAACAACGTCGACATCACTCGCTTCTGCTGAACTGAGAAGCAGTCGGCGACATGATGATCCCGTTGTTCCCAGGACATCTACGATACGAAGAGTAGGAGGTTTGTGCATCTGACATTATGGTTGTTCCAACTCTTCAGATATATGTTCTAACTGTACGAATCGCTGTTCAGACCCGATACCCAGAACCAGCTCCCATTCGTTTGACTCACTCCCCAGTTTCATCAATCGGTAACTCGGTCGAAGGCAACTAAGTGAGGTAGATTTCTGAGAAGGAAGGATGGAGCCATGCATTGCTGCATGTCTCATGTCATCTAGTGTAAATAGACCATATGTCATGCAGTCTAGAGTTCTGCCTAGAACGGAGTACGGGATGTCAGCAACTTCGGTTTGCCAAAAGAGTGGATGGACAAATTCGATACCATATCCAACAAATACAACGACTCAGCAACTAAGACTGCGTTTGTTCTGGTGCGGTTTGCGTATAAAGGGCCTCATACGACAAGTTTTGCACTCAAGAAGGCGGCCAACTTGCCAAACTCAACTCGGAACCCTCGAATTGAGTTGTAACTCGCTTTGGGGGTCTCGAATTGAATTGATTTTAGTGTAGTTGAGTCGAGTTGGATTGAGTAAGATGAGTTATTTCAAGCGCTGTACGAAACCCGTACGAGAACAAACACGGCCTAATAGTATACTTCACCGAACATGTATTTGCTGTTGAACGTCAATGGTACTATAGTATGCAGCTTCATACTCTCCGATGAAATGGCACAATGAGGCTTCAAGGCCATGATCATGTGCTAATCACTGGTTTCCCTACACGGGAGAAGGGGAGAACGCAGAGCATAAAACATGGAGTTATTTTGGTTTTGTGAAGCTCTATTCAGCTGGTCACGTCTAGAGGCACTGGGACGGTTGTGTGTGTATGTGCATTGGTGCTGCTATTGAGCATGGGTGAGGTGGGGTACATAAGCACTAAAACAAGCAGCGAAAAATAATAACAAGTTGCAGGTTGTGTAGTGTAGTGGTTATCACTCTGGATTTTGAAACTCATCAAAACCTTCCAGTAACCCCGGTTCGAACCCGGGCACGACCTCATCTTTTGCACTTTTTTCTTGTTCATCTTCCATGAAATTTGACTCACCGTGACTACATTCATTCTGCTTCTTTTTTTCTCGGTCTGTTTTGGTAATCTAGTCACTCTTTTTTTAGTCGTCTTCCTTCTAGTGGACGGCCAACTCGCATCGGAAGCGATGTTGACAGGTTTTCGCGAGGGGCTTCCAGTTTGATCCAACCCAGTCATCGCAATCTAACAGTCTTCCTTTCAAGACTTCGGGTCATCCATCAACACATCAACAATTCCACTGATGCGACTGGTCCATCAAGCTTTCCTCCTCCTTTGCTTCAACTTGTACCTGACGCTCCCAATGCTATACCTCATCTTCAAATAAACGCCTTGCACAGACGAGCCAGAAACAGGGGGTAGGGGGCGGCTCAACAACCAGGCCAGGGGGGGGGACCGCCGACCAGCCCGATCCGGGGTAGGTGCCATTCTGCGTTTCACGCGAGTGTGACGGCATCGGAACTTGTTAAAGCCGTGAGGCTGAGAGGTGATAATTGAGGAGAAGGTCGGTCAGAAGACGAAATCTATCTACTGCACAAAATGCGGAAGTGCTTGGCTCAAACGAGAGGGTGACCCACAGCGGCTGGGCAGAGGGCGCGGGTGGTTGCGATAGGTCCGGCAGTGGTGTTGGTAGGGCGATTGATACAGACCGATCGACGACATCCCAGGCATGGTGATGAAACCTGTTGATGGTGAGAAGTCGGAGGAGGTGCTGGTAGCTGGACTGCTAACTGAATGTAGTAGTTCTTGCGGCGGGGAAGTCTCGACATCGTCACAACAAACTCTCGAGTCTCAGTCGGTTGTCCAGTCGCAAGTCGCCATACGAGCCTCGAAGCTCCCTACGCCTTGTCTGAGCGAGACGACGGGCTACCTCACCAGACGCCTGTCTGCCACTTCACGTTTATGCGCTACCTCCAGAACTTCTACGCTAGACGAGGCGATGCGAGGAGAGGAGTTTCACCGACGCCGTTCTTGCGCGCAACTTTGAGTCTTTGGCCGCTGGACTTGAGCCTCGATTCCCCTTTCCCCTCCCACCCCAAATCCGTTTCTCTTGCAATACCACGATCTAATGTTTCGATTAGGAAGATCTCAAGCCAAGGCGCCAGCCACTATTCCCCCAACATACATTGTCGCATCCATCCATTGATGGATCGTACACGGTTCACGGCCCAAATCGGCCCCGGCTTGGCTTGACATGATCTACTCGCGGCAACAATGGATGGATCGTACACGGTTCACGGCCCAAATCGGCCCCGGTTTGGCTTGACATGATCTACTCGCGGCAACAAAAGCTTGTTTGGGTTGACACCTGGCTTGGTGGCTTGGTACGCGAACTTCGGATACCACCAGTGCCGAGAATGAAACAGAAAGAAAGAAGAGAGAGGCATGGCTATGTCACATGCGAGAGAAATATCGGGGACATCGATCAAGGCCCTGTTCTGTCGAGCAGTTGCCCCCCCCCCCCCAAAACAAAAAAAAAAAAAAAAGGAACTACAAGTGTCACGTCTGTGATATGGGCCTCGCTACCAAGAGGCACGTCAAGTCAAAGTCAAATACAGACCTTTGCTAGGCCAAGTTGGCTCACTCGCTTGTCTAACCTGAAGTTTTGCGGCATAGCAGAAGGAGAATAGCAAAATACTAGTCGATGCTACAGGCTAAAAAGGTTCTTCGCCGAAGTCGACGAAGAATACCACAACACCACCGGCATAAGTCGGATCGAGACAGACCGAAGGCTGAGTATAAAGCAATGGCCTTGACTATATCGCCCAGAAAATCTCAAGGATGCCGACGATGTTGAAGGGCATCGGAAATAGCATCGGGCACAAATGTTGCCCAAGTGAAGTGGCACTAGACTTGAGTGAGTCTGCCGATGCCTCGATGATGCACACTTCTCAAGTGACCCAGGCAATTGCATCGAATATTATTGATAATCGTTTACATGCAATATGAACTACAGATCAAATAACGTGGGCAACTTGAAGTTTTCATCCGCTCAGTTGAAAACGGGTTGTTCGTTAGCAGAGAGTGCAAGTTCGACTCGAGATAGCATCTCCTGTCACCCACTATTCCCAACATCTCCCGCAAACAGTTCCGAGTACAATCAACAATTGCCCATGTCGACACCATTATAATCTCAGACGCCTTGTTTCGTGCCAAGCATCAAGCGCCGAGCTACAGCGAACCCTGCGCAAGATCAGACATCGAAACTCGAAACCCGGCCCCTTAAGACCAGGGGGAGAAACGCCGGAGGACGGCAGCGCATTGTAAACATCACGATGGCACCCTCGCCGACAGTATCGGTATCACGAAAGAAAAATGTATAAATACCGGTGTTGGCTTCCTCTCTGCTGGACTTGACTTTTGGCTTCATCATCATCACCATCATCAACAATTCAGCACCTCAGGCAGGTCCAGCCCTTTCAGTCACACTCCGGCTTTCTCTTCAATCTTCCTTCCTCAGCACCATTTAATCCTCTCTCCTGCCGGTTCAGGTTATATCCACGACTTTTTTGTGCTGTGCACCCACCATCATTTTTGACTTTTCCAACACACAATCGACAAAAAGAAAACCTTCAAAACACCGCAGACAAAATGGCATCTCTCAAGTCCATCCTCATGAGCTTCTTCGCTCTTGCTCCCCTGGTAGCCGGTCATGGCGCTATCATCGCCGCAGTAGGCGACGCCGGTGGTAAGGGTATGGCCCTGGGCATCGACCCCAGCACTCCCCGTACCGGAACCAAAAAAACCCCCTTCCAGGTGGACACCACTCGATTCCGTGGCCAGGCAGCCAAGACGGTCGGCCAGACGATACAAGGGGGCGCCAACGATGTTGAGAAGGGCACCCAGGCCATCCTTGACAATACCGGGGGTTCGCTGCCGCAGGTGACGGCCGGTGGTTCGGTCAAGATGACGCTCCACCAGGTCAACCAGGACGGAGCTGGACCGTTTAGTTGCATGATCAACTCGGATGCGCAGGCGACGGAATGGACTAAGGTCAATGTCGCGACGAATGTTCCGGGCAGGCTCGGTCTCTCTAGGGTGAGTCCCTACCTACCACCACTTGGATGATAAGATCATCGACTAACAACCCTCAACAGGCTACCACGACTGACTTCCCTTTGATCGCTGAAATCCCTGCCGGCCAAACATGCACCGGAACCGCCGCTGGTCAGAACAACGTGTGCTTGGTGCGGTGCCAGAACCCGATCGGCTTCGGTGGTGTCGTGCCCGTCCAGATGGCCGGCGGTGCTGGTGCTGGTGCTGGAACTGGTGGTGGCAACACCAACACCACTACCACCGAATCTGTTAAGTCTAACAAGCGCCCTCTTGCCAGGAGGTACTTTGCCAAGCGTTCCGACCTTGAGAATGATTCTTTGGAGGATTTGGAGGAGTGGCAGCACGACGAAGACGACGAGTAGAGGGGCACTACCTCTCTCCGGTAGTGTTCTTGACGGTGCTACGACGGGTATGAGTGCGAAAACGATGGGTTGGAAAGTGAAGTGAGTGACTTGAACTGGGATGTCAGTTACATGGAGTGTAGGATATTGCGGTCAAGTAAAGATAGGGGGGAAGGTGAAGCCGGAGTGTGACTAGGGTGGGAAACTTGGGATCTGGATAGTGCTCCCCCACTGTCACTGACAATTCAATGATTGATGTTTAAACTTTTACCTATCCCAATCTGTCGTGCTTGCCAGAAGTGAACCGCCAATATATCTTCACTTTGAGGCTGTCACAACTCACAAGAAGAAACGGCTCGCGTGCTCGACACTGACAAACGGACGCAGTGATAGGTTGAAAGATTAGCGGCGATATCTACGCCTGGGCCTTTTTCTCTACTCCAACCGCGCTCGAGCCGTTACGTACTCCTCTTTCTCCTTCCCCGCATGACGTCAAGTAGGTAATGGATGAGTGGCGATCGGACTGCCACTTTTGGGCTGCTTTGAGCTTATTCTAACCACCTTTATTCCGAAGGCAACGATCGAGATTGGACTGGCGCGACTGGGCGATATTGAATTTTGGGGCTGTATTGCTGGCCACACAAGTGACAGCTCTCGGTGGATGATTGGCAATCCCAAACAGCGAAGTGACAAGAGTGCGTGCTACTCGGACGGGCGACTGCAAGATGGATGCGTCGAGATTGAAAGTGCCGGTCGGGATCGTCAGGGTTGTCAGGAAATCACTGGCTCGAGGATTGGGAATGATAGACGCTCTCCGTCACTTACACGGCACCGAGCCAATAACATTGCCCGGATCGGAGACTGGGATACCTACTGATATCAACGGACACGAACAGAGTAGCAGAAGGAGGAAAGAGCAGCAAACAATGACACTGGGAGCCACACTTCGAGTTCCAGTCAGAGCACAGCACGGCCCCCGACCTTGTTGTGCCTTCCCTTCCTACTTGAGAACTACTGCGTCTCAATCACATCGAAGTGGTCAGGTGCCACCCGAGTCGAGTCCTTGGAGGGGAAGGGTTTACGTACTGGTTCCTCCGATTGTCTTTTCTTTTTCCTTCCATCATCACCATCATCTTCTCCTCCGTCAAATATCCTAAACATTCTTCGCTCCGAGATACCTAGTAGTCATCCTGTCAGCACTACACCTCTACTTATAACCTAAAGACCACTCCGACTCGCTTATCAACCACTCTCCACTACTCTTCATCTCTATCTCTCTGCCATTATCCATCTCCAGAATTACAATCTCCACGTCCCATCTCACGGACCCATAATCTATCTACCATACCAGTTAGTACGACACTTCGAACGTTGAGCCCATCAGAAAACTCGCCAGAGACTCCGACACCATGTCTGGTAAGTAATCCTCTCTGGAAATGCAGATAAGAGCATACTCTGACTCGACTTTGATACTTCACAGAACAACAGCAAAACAAAGCCCCCATCACCATCGACACCACCAGGACGACCACCACCTCCTGGGAGGACCCCAACACCATGACGCAACAAACCACAACCACCCACAGCGAACAACAACCGGTACAACATCGCAATTCGGAAACAGCAACTCCCACATTCACCAACTTCAGTCCCGTCTCGGCTGCTTCCGACTCTCCCACCTCTCCGGCAGACCGTCGGATGAGTGCCGAATGGGGTAAGTTTCAATCACCATTTCCCCTTTCCCCATCCCTTTCTTTCTGGGTGTTTTCCCCCCTCCGTCACTATCATCATGCCCGACCCAAGAAAAACTAACCTGACTCCTTTTTCGTCGTTGCAGACGCCTCAAAAGTACCACCAAGCCGCTTCCAAAAGCGCAAGGGATCCATCTACGCCGTGCCCAAGACGCGGGACGGCCACATTGACGATAACTATGCCACTGCCTTCCATCAGAAACACATGGAGAAGGGATATCAGAATGTGAAGTAAGCGAGCGAACGGAAATGGGATGGGAACACAAGATGGCATTGGACAGGAAAAGAATTGATATGAGGGAGGGAGGATATGTTGAGATGATATCCGGTTGTTCGATGGGTTGAGTTGGCTTTTGTCGATTGTGTGCGTGTTAGTTTTGGTTGATGGTGGGGAGGAGGAGGGATGCTTATATGACATGATCGTTGATGTTTATCTTCCTGATGGGCTGTACTATCACTATTTCCGATTGACGGTATTCGTTTTCTTCTGTTTTGGAATAGGAAATCCCTCTCAATGAGATATGAACCGAGATCTTCTCCACACGCGAAGGGTAGCAGATGTGCTTTTTGCTATCGATATTGTTGTTAGCTCGAAGCATATGAAGTTGATCATCCAGGCCTGCTGTGTTGTGTTTATTAAAGATATAAAGGAGTAGCCGTGACGTTGCTCAACTGTGCCACATACGTCTTCATGGTAAATTGGAGGGAGGTTTGTTCTTATGCACCCCGAAACCCCTAGCCTTCATCCCCCTTTTCCCTTGTCTGCCTGCGTACAGTCAAAAATATTTGGGCAGTATCCACGAGCCGCCAATCCCTAGTTCCTGTGATGAAAAGAAACAGAAGAATTCCATCCCCTTGCCTCCCCTGTCAGTCCAGTTCAATGGATGGGAGTGTAGTGAGTGAGTTGTGTTTACGTGATGATAAATGTTTAAGTAGCCGGCCCCCTTCCCAGTTCCAGTCTATGTACAATACAGGCCAACCTCGCCGTGAAAACCAGAAAAACCACGCACAAGAGCCCGAACCCAAGAAAAAACGACAAATGAGAAGCTCTTCAGAAACAACAAAGAAAAAAAAAGTAGTGATCATTCATCCATTTCATCAAGATCGATAGCATCCGGGTTATGAACCTGAACAGGCTGAACCGGCATGCTACCGCCCTTTGGTCCTTCCGAAGCAGCCACAAAGCCCACGGGCGCGCGCGCCTGTCTCTCCAGCGCCGCCATCGCGTCCGCAACCTCGGCGTCCATCTCTCCTCCTCCATTTCCTGCTGCCTCCTCCTCCATCCGCTTCTGCTGACTCCTCGCCAGTGCTTGGGAAGCAATGAAATTGACGTCCGTGTTGTACTGCGCCTGCACGCTTCTCTTGATGCGGAGCATCTCCTTGTAGGTATCCTCGTTGCCGTGTTGGACCTCGAATTGATCCCACTTGGCCCAGAAGCCCGGGTTCGTGCGCGGGTCGCAGAACTGCGAGGCGTGGCCGTAGATGGCGCGGGCGCGGTCGATCTCGCCCAGCCGCTTCTCCATGTCGGCGAACTTGAGACACATGTCGCGGGCCTCGGCGTCGGGTAAGGCCGCGATGGCGCGCTCGTAGATGGGCCGCGTCGAGGGCAGGCCGAAGTTGGAGGCTGACTTGGTGATGTAGAAGTTGAACATGTCGGCGCGGTCCTCATCGGCGACGGCGCGGGTGGCGCGCTCGTAGATGCGCATGGCGTGGCGCGCGAGGCCGCGCTCCTCTTCGAGGTTGCCGTACATGAGGTAGATGACCTTGGCGAATTTCGGCGGGCAGTCCTCGACGGCTTGCTCGAAGAGATCGCGGAGGCGCTCGATGCTGATCTTGCGGTCGACGGCCTTGGTGAGGTATAGGTTCCAGAGCTCAAAGGCCACAGGGTAGCTGAAGAGTTCGAGACCGCGCTCGTAGATCTTGAACGACTCTTCGAAGTACTTGTGCTCCTCCAGAAGGTTGGCGTAGTTAACCACTGTCTGGGGAGTGGCGATGCGAAGTTCGAATATCCTCTCGTACACCTTGCGGGTCTCATCCAGGGAGCTGACACTTTCCACAAGGTCAACGTAGAAACTCCACAGCTTCCAGCTTTTGTGAACTCTTTGTTGTGGCGAGAGTGTTTCGTCGAAGTAGTCCACCGTAGACCTCTTGGGCGCCTGTACCGCCTTTGCCATGACCTTCATGGCCTCGTCGAAGCACTCGTTTCGAAGCTCCATCTCTGCCCACTCGATCCACATGTCTGCTAACTCTGCAACGGACTTATAAGGGACCTTGATGGCCTTCTCCATGATTCTTCGGGCACTTGAAAGGTCCCCTCCGGCCTCGTAAAATTTGGCGTAATTGGTCCATAACTGGTGAAGTGCGCCCACTGCCTTCTTTGGTTGGATAGCTTCAATAGCATCAAGGTAAGTCTTGACAACCTCCTCCTTATTGTCGCCCCACAGAGCCACACGCTTCTCCCACTCCGTGACATTGTTGGGGTTTTGCCTCAGGAGAACATCGTTCAAGAGGAAGGGTCGGCGGTCCATCAGATGCTCGAACCGCATCATCCGGATATCCAAATCGAAATCAGCCACCTCGTCCACCTCTCCCTTCTCAGCCCGGGTCGATGCCATCTCCATCAGGGCGCTAATGATGGACTCCTCAAACTCCGTGTACGAATCGAAAACGAGGGTGAAGTCTCGAACGGTCATGACGGTCGTAATGCCCTCCTCGAAAACATCTCGTGCGCGTTCAAAGCTACCTCGTCGAATCCAATAGGTCGCCAAGCCGCACCACAGCTTACCCCTCTGGTCGGCAAATCTTTCGATACCACTGCGAATGATCCGTTCGACGTCGATTCCCGTCTCATGCCCCGTCTCCACCTCCGTCGCATGCTCGACCAGCAAATCTACCATCTCGCTCCACAGCTCGTAGTGTCCCTTGCTGTTTTTGCTCGTGAATCGCGGGTTGTTGAGGATCTCGATGTACTTGTGGACGGCTTCCGTATATAGCCCCACCGTTACCAACAACTCGATGAAGTCCTCGGCATCCTCTGGGTGAACCTGCATGTACCTGCGCCAGATCTTGACGGCCGTCTCGCCTTCGGCCGAGTTGGCGAAGGGTCGGTACAGAGCCCATATCCTGTTGTGTTGCGTAATGGGGAGAGCGCGGAGGGCCCGATCGAAGGTGCGTCGTGTGTGTGTCACAAGCGGCTGCTGCATCAGAAACTTGAGATACATCTCCCATATCCTAGGCATCTTGTTGAGGAGGATGAGCGCCCTCTCAAAAAGGCTGTTGACCTTTTGGTACTCGGAGGCGAAGATGGCGGCATTGAGCTTCGAAACGTGCTTCGTCCTAAGCCAGAGGTACTGGCGACCAAGTCAGTTGGCATGTTGGGCCATGGGGAAAGTTCCGGCACTCACCATCTTCCAAAGCTTATAGGATCGAGGAAGCTGCACACAGGCGCGCTCCATGATATATGCCTGCTCCTGGACCGTCCCATTCTGAAGCTTGTACTCGATATATGCAAGCCATGGCTTCGTGCTGCCGGGGTTACGGACGATGTCTTGTTCGTAGGGAAAGTCCTCCTCGCTCTACCGGTACACCAATCAGATGGTCAGTTTGTCTTTCTGTAGCAGAGACCTTGGACAAGAGGAGGGAAAAGACATACGACCAAGGAGAGGTCTGGGCGACGGTCGGAGGCGCGTGAAAGGATAGACATGGCGAAGGGTGGTCCGCGTTGGACTGCAGAAGAAGACCGGGAGTGGCGTCGCTGGAGGAAGGAATAAAATCGATGTTCAAGGAGCAAAGGTCCCTAGAGGCATTCCTGCCGTATTCCCACGATTTTGGGCCAGCCTCTCGACAAGATTCGGAGAATGGGCGGACGGTGACGGGGTTTCGTTTTCGCTGGCTTGTTGTCGCTGTGTTTTGTCCGTGATTCTTTTTTCTTGGGAGCCCGGCACGTCTCGAAGTTCAACCTTGTTCACACGAGTTTCGCGAAAGCTCAGACCAGCCTCCCATTTACGGAGTTAGAGCGATCATTTGGCAGATGTCCCGCTAAACAAGAGCCAATTTCAGTGGGGTTAATTGCTGATAACCTCCCAGACCTTGGTGTCCGATGTGACGGTGTAGAATTGATTGATTGAAGAGTGTGTGTAACTGATTCGCCCAGAAGGTATAGGGGGTGTTGGGGTAACCCAAATATGCCCAGAAATCAGGCAATATCAGGTGGCTAGAGCGCTAACCTCCATATAGTATAGCTAAAACCACCCTTAAATTTAATATACTCCCTTACTTGTAGACCTTCTAAATAGGGTAAAAGTAAAGCTATTTACAAAGTCTCTCTTCTAGTACGTTAATTTCTCTAGCTAAATTGTGAATATCCTCTAGAACATTATCCGGAATCTCGCTATCCATTCCTATCTCCTTACGAGCTAGTATATTCATTATTCTTTTTAATTCCCAGAATTTCTCGTAATTTAATTATCCTTAAACCTTCGTTAATTTATCAGCTAGTATCTTCTTTGTTTCTAGATATTTAATTTCAATCCTTCCTTCTATAATCTCCTACTTTAATTAGTAATAATAGATATTAATATACTTTAATTTAGTTATTAACTTTATTACCTTAATAATTAATATACAAATCGTTTATATATTATTATAACCGATTATAGGTATATTCTTACTGAGGGGAATATTAATCTCTTTATATAAACGTATAATAGCGATAGCTTCCTTAGTGCCGTTTGAAATCGATAATAACTCTATTTCTATTATTAAAGTAAATACTGTTATTTATTTAATTATACCCTAATAAATTAGATTATTAAAGAGCTTAATTATAAATTTATATAAATTCTTTCGATTTAGAGGGTTATTAGCGTATAATGTATTTGAAATAATTTTGAATTTCGTTAATTTACTATAATAGAAGGAGAAATTAAGGTAGTATTAAAGGTAATATAGAACTTTATTAATAGCCTTATGATATTGAAGACCGGGATTATAATTATAGTGAATTAATCGGCTAATGGCGAAAGTAATATTAGGCTGGGTAATTATAGTAGCGTATATTATAGAGCTAATAATAATTTAATATTCCCAGATTTTATTAAAAGAAGCTACGCTATTATAAAGTATAAGTTCTTTATTATTTATCGGAATAAAGGCGAAAGTATAGGGATTTTTAATTAATTTAAGAATTTTATAAATATATTCCCGTTAAGATAATTAAATATAGTTTACCTTTCGGTTTGGAATAATTTCGATACTTAGAAATTATTAAAAACTATTACTATTAGTAAATTTATATTTTTCCTTTAGTTTCTTCGTAACTTAAATAATTATATTCTATTATAATTTGTTGAAAGTGAAGATAATATCGTTAATATAATAGAAAATTAAGATTCTATTATATTTAAAAATATACGGGTCTTCAAATAATAGTTTAAACCCTAGGCTTTTAAAAATCCTATTAAATTCTCGTTACTATAGTAAAAGAGTTCGTCGGAAATTATAAAAAGCCTTAAGGATTTTAAAGATAATATTATACTTTTAATAATTAGGAAGTATATATATATATATATATTTCTTTATCGAAGTAAGTATTAACGAAAGCGTTTACTATATTATATTAAATAAATTCGAAATCGAATTTAATAATATAAGTGATAATTAACTAGAATAACCGATTAACTAACGTAAAAATATACGTCTTTTTACCGTAATTATATTGTTAATTTCCTTTAATTACAAAGCGAACTTTTACCTTTAATAACCGATTATATTTATTAAACTTATATATATATATTTATATATAATTAAAGATTTAAAAACCCTTAGTACGGAGAACGTCTTCGTTAATTTTAACTTATAACTTTAAATTTTTTATAGCTATCGAAATATATTTCCTCTATTTATTTAAAGAAATTACCTGAATTATAATATTCGAAATTGTAATAAATCTTTAAGATTAAAGGAAGGTTTTAATATTTAATAGGATCTAATTTACTACCCTTAGAAATTAGGCAATTAATTTCTACCTTCGTAATTATTTTACTTTACTACTACCTAATTAATTAAATAAATTTCTTAGCGTTAAATCTAATTTCTTATAATTCGAAGGTCGGGAAGGAGATAAACTCTCATAAATTTATTATAAAGCTAATAATAAAAGTAGTTAATAATATATTTAACGGAGTAGGGTAATTAAATATAAAATTAATAAATATTTTATTCTAAATAGTAAATTCTATTAATTTCGAAATAGTTTCGTTATTATCTTTTTAAAGTTCGTTATCGAAGAATAATAGTAAAAAAGGGGTAAAATTATTATTTTCTATATTTTACGTTACATTAAAGGGTTCGAAATATTATATAAATAGTTAAGAAGGTTAATTAATTCGGTTGAATAAATCGGTAATTTCGTCGCTAATTAGCTTTAATCTTTCTTTAAAATTATTAAAGTTCTCTAAATAGACTAAATCTTCGTTAAAAAGTATATTATAAATATAAATAATATAATTAGTCTACGGATTCCAAATTTAATAAATAGAAGAGGTAGTATAGCCAATAAAGAATCCAATTTAAACTTTTAATTGAAATTTCTTATACCGTTACTTTTTCTTCTATACGGTACTCATTATTATATATATTTTATAACCGTAAATACGTAAATAATTGAAATTAGGTTTACGGGGTTTAGTTTATACTCCTTTATAATAAGTTACGAAAATATAAAACTGTTCGTATAATAATATCTAATTATAAAAATACTTAGGCAATTATTTAATAAAGTAAATTAAAGTTAAAATAATTTAAAATTAGAAATTATAAGGGAATTTAGCGCTACTTGTTATTATATGCGCTTTTTCTTTAATTATACTCCTTAAACGTTTAGTACCGCCGTTTTAAATTTAAATATTAAATATTAAAAGTTCGAAAATAATAAAGCGTATAGCTAATTTATCCTTAATATATTAATTATTAAATTCGTTATCATACTTAACGTATTTAACTTTAATCTTATACCGGTAATTAATTACATCAATAACTAATAAAAGTTCTTTAATGATAATTTCAATTATCTGGTTCGATATATAAATATCCTAAATAAATTTAATCTATTAATAAATAATAAATATAATATATTTAAAATTACTTTTCCTCACTTCGTATTCGAAGAAATCGACGGCGAAATCTTCTCCCGGGCCAAATCCCTTATTTCGTAATTTTCGTTTAATTTATTATTTAATCTTTAAAATACTATACGTATCGTATCAATAAATAGCGGGCGCTTTAAATTTAATGCCTTCGATATTATAAAAGTATTTAAAGATTTGAAGATTATAGTAACCGAATCGTTTTTATTAGAATTTAGCGGGAATTTCATATATACGACGGCCGGTAAAGGAATTAAAGTAATTTCGACGAATAAAGAAAATAGTATAATTAAAGGAGAAGGGTAAATATTCGAAGACCGTTTAATAATAGATTCTTTAAAGAAATAAAAGAGTAAGCCGTTTAGCTAATAGAAGTAATTACTAAAGGGTTTATAATTTTAATAAAAATTTTATTTTCGAAATAGGCGTAATAATATAAAAATTATAATAAAGTTAAAGTAGAAAGCTACCTTTTTCAACCGTAGTTTTAAAACTCCCCTCTCTCCCTATACTTTTACGTTAATAATTTTAAAACCCTAAATAGGTATTTAAAATTTACTAATCTAAACGTCGTCCTTTAGGGACGCTATTCGAAATAAAGAGAAATAATTAATTTCGTTAAAAATAAAAATAGAAGCCTTAGAATCGAAGATTATAGAGTTTTTAAATAAGTAAATATTAACCTTACCACTACTCGCGTTAAAAATATTTTATTTAACGAAAAATATTAAATTGTAAATACCGATTTCTTATCTCCTTTAATTTTTCGAAGCAATAATTTACGTAAAGGTAAAAAAGTAGTCCCGTATTTAATTTTTAGCCTTCTTAATCTCTTTACTAATCTCGGGATATTTTTTAAGATTTTTATTAATAAACTTCTAAGTAAAGCTACTTAATTTTTATTTAGGAGTATCCTTAATTTTAAATATTAAATACTAATAGCGCCTTATTAAATAAGGGCTTCGCTCGTAAATTTTATAAAATGGCGTAGCGCCTCTTCTCCTTTTTGGCCGTAAAGAATCTTTTATATTTTTATCCGCATTATGTTTTTTCTTTACATTTACCTTTTACTTCTTTTTACAATTAAAATTAAAAGTATCCTCCTTATTAAACGCGAACTTTTACGAATTAAAACGGCTAATACCTTAAACGCTACGAACTATAGCCTTCTTAGAATTAACTAATAATATAGTACGTTCTAATATACTAACCCTTTTACAATTAACGGATACATCCTTATATTTTAAAGATATCTCTTCAAATTCATTATCGAACTTCTAAGAATTACTAATTTAAATAGGCTTATGTTTATAAACTATATCGATAAAGTCAGTACATTATAAAATAGGGGAAATTATTTTACTAATTCTAAATCTTTTCCTATTTATAATAAAGATTTTCCAATCAGATAATTATTTTTCAAAATCCTTAGGTTACTTTTTTATAGTTTCTTTAATAAAGGTTTAATAATTTCGATGATTTTTAGCGATTTAATTAATAAGTAGATAATTAATTTGACTCTTAATTTCTCTAAACTAATCGCGGGTAAATTCATCCTATTTAAATAAAATATTAATATAATAAGCGGCGATATAAGTATTTATCCAATTACGAATTCGGGTATTAGCGTCGTCGAAGTCTTTCTAATATTTATAGTAAACGTTATATATATTATTAATTTAATCGTACATTACTTTCCTAATAACTATTGAATCGGTAGAGGGGTTAATAATTATATCCTCCCTAATATCTTACTTAATACAATATTTATTATCCTCCTCTTCCTCTTTTTCTTCTCCTAAACTTCCTTTCTTATCGTCTTCGTTAGCGCTGGTAGCGGCTTCTTCTTAAAGTTAGGTAGCAATAGCAATCTCAATAGTAGTACCATTTATATTAGTAGCTATAATAGTAGTAATTATTACGATTATAGTTATAGCCTTCACCTGGATTCCTCTATTAAATTTAATAAACTCCTTCTTTACTGCTAAAAAGCGGTCCTTTACTTATTTAGTAAAGAAGAAGTCTTCCAGCTTCGGGGGTAGAACCCTTTCAATTATAAGTTTTCCTTTAAATAGCCAATTACTAAAATCCTAATTACTACCAACGAATCTCTTAAGAACTTTATACTAACTAGGCTAGTCAATAGGAGCATTAAAGATAACCGTAATAATTTTATCGGTGGATTCTTTTAATAAGGATATAACTAACGTTATTAATTTTGTAGGAATATTACTTGTAATCGATAATCATGGTATTAAACGTGAATATGTAAATCAGATTGTTAATTGTCTGATGTAATGGTGTAGAATTGATTGATTGAAGAGTGTATGTAACTGACTCGCCCAGAAGGTATGGGGGGTGCTGGGGTAACCCAGATATGCCCAGAAATCAGGCAATATCAGGTGGCTGGAGCGCTAACCTCCATATGGTATAGCTAAAACCACCCTTGAATCTGACACTTGGCAGCTTGGGGACCCGCAGCAGGTGCCAGCCGCATCCCCGGGAGGCCTGGATCCAGTTGTTACGTAGGGCGGACTTGCAGTGGGCGGCCAATCCGATCCACGACGCCATCACCTTGGAACGACCCCCGTCTCGAACTCATCCAAGCTCCAAACATCGAGCTCCACTGACCACGGCCCGTCCCTCCTCCAGTCGATATCGAACCTATCTGTCGTCGTCGCGATAGCCTCACGACTCCTACAATCATCATATACTGGCCCTCTGGACCTGTTGTCGCCTTAGTCTCTTACCCCACCTCGAGTATACCTTGACCATTGCCGGATCGCAAACATGTCTGGAGCTGCGGTATGACATCCATCCTGGCTGCTGGTCCCCCGCAATCGACAACAACCGGGTCCATGGCGTTGACTAACAATGGGTGGTGGTGATAGGATCGCGAGGCCGTCTTCCCTACACGGCAGTCCTTGGGTATTATGAAAGCCAAGCTCAAGGGCGCCGAGACGGGTCACAGCTTGCTCAAGAGAAAGAGTGAAGCTCTCACCAAGTCCGTTGTTCCTCTCCCGGCCCATATCCATCCGTACACTTACACAGAGCTTGGTGCTAACAAAGTTTACTTCAAACAGACGTTTCAGAGGTACATATCCACTCGAGACCACTAAGACCCTTCACACATAGAGACTCTGACACGTCCGCCACTCCTTACAGAAATCACCCGCCGAATCGACGAAGCCAAGCGCAAGATGGGCCGCGTCATGCAGATCGCCTCGCTCTCCCTCGCCGAAGTTACCTACGCCGTCGGCGGCAACATCGGCTACCAGATCCAAGAGTCGGCCAAGTCGGCGCGATTCCGCATCCGCGCCAAGCAGGAGAACGTCTCGGGTGTGCTGCTCCCCACCTTCGAGGCCTACCAGACCGAGGGCAACAACGACTTCGCCATGACGGGTCTGGGCAAGGGTGGTCAGCAGGTGCAGCGGTGTCGCGAGACGTACGCCAGGGCGGTGGAGGCCCTGGTTGAGCTGGCTAGTCTGCAGACGGCGTTCGTTATCCTTGATGAGGTCATCAAGGTCGTCAACCGAAGAGTTAATGCGATGTAAGGCGAACCCTCTCCGTCTTTCTTGAAAGGTAGAATGGGAACACTAACACAAAGTTTCTAGTGAGCACGTCATTATTCCTCGGACTGAGAACACCATCAAGTGTAAGTTGATGTCATATTGCTCAAGGCTCTGACACGAGGACTATTTACTAATAGCTATGATAGATATCAACTCGGAACTTGACGAGCTTGACAGAGAGGAGTTCTACAGACTCAAGAAGGTTGCTGCCAAGAAGCAACGAGACAATGCGGAAACCGACGCTCAGATGAAAGCAAAGAAGGCAGAGCAGCAGCGGTTGGCCCTTGCGGAGGCTGAGAATGCTGAAGGTGAACAAGCGACCGAAGCACCCGCAGCACCAGAAGCGACCGACCTGCCAGAAGATACCCCTGCCGATATTTTGGCTGCCGAGGAGGACGAAGACATCATCTTTTAGTTTGATGTCAACTTGTTAACGTACTGGGAACGTGTGATGGCTGGACGGACTGTCGATGACGATCAAGAATGTTTTGTTTGCATGAAATTGTGGAAGCAAAGGGCATGGGCGCAATCAAGGAGTTTGTCTTGTTTTTATTCTTGTTGTAGCATTGGGTATCTAAAGAAGGCGCTTTGCGAACTGCCCAAGTGGTGCCCATTATCAACGGAAACCTTTTATCCCACTCACCTATACTGTGCATAACACGAGTATCGCACAATATCACCTCCTTTTGTTGACTTTTTCCAGGCATGCTTCCAGGCATGCTCTACTGTCTCTGGTAGGTAACCTTCATGATCTTCTCGCCGTTCTTCAGAGCCATGCCGGCCGTGTTCTCCTTGGCGGTGATGGCACCAGCCTCGGCGTCGTACTCGACGAAAGCAATACCGCTGCGACCAGGCACAGTACGGACTTCGCGGAAGCCATCGAAGCGGGAAAAGATGGCTGTGAGGTCGTCCTTGGTGAAGTCGTCGGGTAGGTTCTGAACGAAGAGAATACGGTTGGGAGGCAAGTACTCGTCTGGGACGACAGCAGCAGGTCCCTGGCCCGTAGCCTTGAGGCCGGCACCGCGTTGGTTCTTGGCAGGGCGCCCGTCGGGGGCGGCACCCTGGAGAGGGCGCTTGAGGCGGTTTTGCTGTTCGGCGACTTCGAGGGCTCTCTTCTTGTCTGTAGCGGTTGATTGTCAGATCAAATACGCTTGTTGCCAAGTGAAGATCGGGAGATGAAAGGAACATACCCTTCTCAGCAATGCGCCTGCGCTTGTGCTGGTCAAACTCCTCCTCGTTGCCAGTCTGAATAACGGTAGCGTCGCTCCTCGTCCGCGCCAGGGCCACCACCATGGGCTTCTCAAACAGCTCGAAGCCCTGGAGATCGTCGACGGCAGCTTGAGCCGACTCGGGCTTGTCAAAGACCACAAAGGCCTGGCCCTTGGCCTTGAGGTTGGTCTTGGCGACGATATCAATGACATTTCCGTACTCGGAGAAGATGGTGCGCAGGGCCTCCTTGAGGGGCTCTGGCTTGACGCGCTCCTCGAGATTGCGTACATAGACTCTACACAAAACGCGAACATGGGTTTGGTTAGCTTGATCGTCTCCTGGGATTACCTCGTGACTAGCTAGACTAGAGAAAAACACCCGACACCAGCCAGTGCTTTGTATGTGTCGGAGTGCAATGACACATACGTAGCGATGGGGGCCTGTCCTGCTGAAGCCATTGTTTCGACGGTTTAAAAATAGCGGTTTGAATGGTACGAAGGATCTATCCGTGTGGTCGTGAGGATCGCAATATGCTGTTGCGCAAGGGTAGGATAGGTAGAGGTATGTAGGTGTTGTCGTCGGTTATCACCGAGCAATCTTGAAGTGCAATGTCCAAGTGTAAGTTGTTCCTTGGTGGAGACGCTAGAAATCAATCCAGCAAGGGACTCGAGCGTTCAGGAGGCGCCACCTGGGCTCAGCTGCGCGACGCGACGCTAACAGTCCCGTCCGGGGCGTGGAGCCCCACCAGTTACCTCATCGCGCTTCACGGGCACTGCAACCCATCGCAAGCGCCTGTTGCTCGCTGTTGATTGCTCCGATCCAGGTGTCGGTCAGTTCGTTCTCTCCGCTCTGCCCGCTGTCGCAGTGTGTCTCGTCCCGCGGCAACAGCGGTCCTCTCCTCCCGTCTTGTTTGGTTCCCGGTCAAGCTGAACTTCCACTTCCTTATCAAACAACTTGGAACCCAACGGCTCACTAAGGTACCTACTCGTCAGGACTGTTTGCCGCCCCTTTCTGTCATGCGAAGATGCTGGACATTTTCCTGAGCGAAACCACCAGATGAGAGACAAGGACTCGCGCAACAAGGAAGAGACAGAAGTGTAAGATAGGCGGTTAGCCAGTTGCCGACGCAGCCGGCGGTCGCGACTCAGCTCTCAGAGGATCACCGTGATACCTTCACTTTCCATCCCATAGGATCCGACATGGACGATAGTGTTTTCCTGCCGGATGCTGTAACGGCGGCAGCCTTGGCCCCGACAGCAGTATCCGTCCCGGTGCTGAATAATGCCAGCGCATGGCACAACTTCACGGTCTGGACCGCCCAGCGCCTGGGTTATGCGTTCAACGTGACGAAACTGGCGCCTTCGCTCGAGGATCTAGTCTGGGCAGGGCCCCGGATGGTGAAGAAGCTGGGGAAGCTGGGCGGCTCATATATCTTTTACCCCGATGCCATTGACGGCTTTGGCCAGCGCGTCATAGCCGAGTCGACCGACCCGGCCGCTTTCTTTGTCACGACTGCTCCCGACAGCACGACTGCTGCCGACGCCGCCCGAGCCATACTCGAATCCGCATCGTCTTCCGCCGCGGCCACTGCTACGGGCCAAGAGTCAGCCGCCTTCGCATCACGATTTACAATGGAGGGCGCCAGAGGTCTAGGGAGCGTCTTCAGCTACGCAACAAGCAAGTGGGCGCTAGCATGCATTGTCATGGCTGTGGTCTTCAACCGGACACACATCTTCGCCGCTACTCGCCGCCGACTGACGCTACCATGGACAGTCCGGCTTGCGCTCCGGTTGCCGGTTATCTTAGTCCTCGCTTGGCAGGTCGAACGGGTCCTCGAATCGATACAGTGCCAAACATCCCCCGAATTCGCCGATTTGCGCTGGGGCAATGCCAGCAAGAGCTCCGATCTCATGTTCTCCGAAAAGAATAACTTTCTCCACGGCTTGAGCTCTACCCTGCTCTTCGGGGCAACCGATAAACAATCTTGCCAGGCTATAAGGATGGTGCCATGGGACAACAATTCGAACGAGCAGCCGCAACTAGTAGGATCCTTGTCCCGGCTCTGGCCTCTGTTCATGACTTTCTGTGTGAGCCAGTTCATCGAGGTCCTCTCTGCGACGGTTCAGGGCCGTCCAGTAGCCGCAGAGACGGGCATGACGCTTTTCGAGCACTCATTGGCCTTTGCCGAAGCTGATGCCGCCATCAGCAACCAGCTGGGTTGGGGCCTCTTTACGGGCAAGGGGAATTCTTCCCAGGCATTAGCGGGATCTGCTGTTGCTGTCACGCGCAGCATGATTCTAAGAAGAGTCAACACGTCTCCAGAAGTTTTGCTGGTTGCGTTTCTCTCCGCCATGAGCCATCTCACTAGCCAAATACTTGGTGTCTTCAACCTACAGTCCAAATTCCGTTTGATCAACACTGGTTTCTGGGGACTTTGCTTTATGGGCAGCATTGTCTGGGGCGCCGTTACTTTCTCCATTGAGGATAGCTCAGCTCAAGCACTCTTGAGGTTCCCTACGGTCGTCATTATTGGATTTGTTCCGCATGTTCTCATCATATGCGGCATCTTTATTTGCAGTGTAATCTATTTACTAACCATGGGCCTCTCAGCGTTCGCTGCTCCTGAAAGCCCTCTTGAGACAGGACAACAACGCCCAACCCTCAGAGACCGCCTTGCTCGAGCCCACGCGAACATGCAAGCCAATGGATCTCTCTCCGATATCCGTATCCGATGGGACATGGACTTCTATACTGCCCTCCTTCGGGCTGGCTTTGGAGCCATTACCATGGCTAGTGAGGCTGTCTACCTGAACGAAGACCATCGGGTGAATGTAAAGCGCTATACCTGGTTGGAAGACGAGCGGTTCCGCGAGATTGAGGAGCTTAGGATGCAATGGCTTGGAGGCGGAGGATCGGGCTCCCGTTTCGACTCCGTCGGTGTCATCGGTCTCGTACCTGTCAAGGAAGATCAAGCAAACGCTACGAGCGGTTACGCGAGGGAAAGGGCAGCTCAGAAGATCCCCCGGAACAGCGTTTCCGCCAGGCGGTTGCGAGACGGGGTGGGCGCCACAGAACGGAGTGGCAGGTGGCTGTTGGCGATCGAGTATGTCATGCACGTCAGCCGCCTGATCATCACCACTTGGATGCTCGTCGTTATCAAGTTACTCTCTTACTTTGGGATTCGGAACCCCCCTCGTTGGCTACGGGCGTTGGCCCTTCAGCCACCAAAGCCGGAGACTGCCACCAACGGCAGGAGGTCAGGGCGGAGAGGCGAGCGCGGTGCAACAGCCATCTGGGTAGACGCATCAGATCCCAACTCTTTCCCCGTCCCGCGGAGTGAGCGGGTCGATGTGGAAGCCGAGTTCCGCCGGCGCCTCCAACAACAACCCCTTAGCAGTGATCAAACCGGCGCCAGCGAAGCCGACATCGACTCCAAGCTATACAGCTGGTTCCTAAACGGCGGCTGGTGGGGAAACATTGATACAAGCGGTGACTACGTTCCCCCCGGCGGCGGTACCGACCTAGACGACCCGGACTTCGACACCACAAGCATCATCTCCACAACCGAGACCACATCGCTATCAGACCTAGACAATGCCTGGGAGTCCGACAGCGATAACAACCATCTCGAAGACGGCCAACGCACACCCACTCAATCGTCCCCTTACCCAAACAACAAGCCCAACACCCAAAACCCCCTCCAACAATCCTGGGCCTTCTCCCGGGAATCCACCCCCGCTCAAGTAGCAGACCTCCCCCTAGCCGCCTCCGACCTCGCCCGCCTCCTCAACCCTCAATCGCCCGAAGAGCGCGACGAAGCCATCACCCTCGCCGCCCACTTGTCTTTCGAAGAAGGGATCATGACCCGCTCCCGCTTCCGCCAGCACCAAGCGCGCCAGCGCGTCAAGGTACTACTGTCCGGCGCCCAACACCGTCGTTTGTACGGCGGATACGGCAAGGGAGGACAAAGTACGCAGATGATGACGCCCGAGGAAGAGGCGAGGCGGTTGGAACAGATATTGTTGTCTAGACGGGCTGCTAAGGCGGCCCCTCCTAACCCAGAGGAGGAGGGAGGGGGTACTGGTACTGGTACAGGTACACAAAGTGGTGGTGGAAGTAATGACTGGGCAACGGGTGCGGATGGCCTGGGTAGTGAAGGACCGCAGTGCGTGGTTTGTCAGTGCGCGCCGAGGACGATTATCGTTTGGCCGTGTCGGTGTCTGAGTCTTTGCGATGAGTGCAGGGTTAGTTTGGCGATGAATAATTTTGACAAGTGCGTGTGTTGTCGGAGGGAGGTTATTAGTTTTAGTAGGATTTATGTGCCTTGATACTTGGGTTATGATGGACTTTATTGGGAGGAGGAAAGAGATTTCGTATTCCGAATGGCTTTACACTACGCACGTATTTGGTAATGAAGGAAGAAGTGAGGGACATGTTTTGAGAAGAGAGCCTTAGAGATACGGGAGTCGAGTATTCAACAGCATGGTGATCATTGGAAGTTAGCCAGGTTGTGAAGCATGCACTGGGGCGATTGGGAAGCGATTGAAAGGGCGTTTTGATGGTTCTTGATTTGATGTTGGTTGTCTTTGGGCGATTTGTTCCTACGAGTTTCTGAAGAGATCTCGAACGGGGCGAATACAAGATATGCACAATGAATGCGATTTCACACGATGCAAAAAGTAGGATATGGTTGTAATGGGTATCATCGCTTCAATCAAATGCTCAAGCTGCCTGAAACTACATGCCCGCCCACTCAATGCAGAACGCCCTCAACTCGCCAGCTTCACTATCATCTGTCGCCGGCTTCTGCCCTCCCATGAGGAAGCTCTTCTTGACAGCCGTTCCCAAACGACCACTAGTAACAAGATCCAACATGGGAATCTTCTCATCCCACCCGTAGCTGTTCGCCATATAATGAGCATGATAGCGGAAAGGGTCGCCGGGATAAACACTAAAGTCACCACCGAAGCGCAGACCTGGAGTGATAAAGTATCCCCTCTCGTTCAAGTACGAATACAATGGCAGCGCAGTGTGGTTTTCGACATCAGGATTACTTGTCCCGGTAGAAATCATGGCATTGCTGGTGGTGGGGGTGATTGCAGGCAGTTGCTCCTTGACCGGCGGCTTCTGAGGCGGCGCCGGCGCCGTCTTGACTGGCTTGTTTGATGATGACTCGAAGAGGAACTCCTCTCCTCCTTCCTGCTCTACGGCGGCGGCGTCGTCGACAGATGCAGGCGGCAGTTCAGTGGGAACGACAACAGGGGGCTGTGGCTGTTTAGGCTTGCGCTTGTCCTTGTGCCTAGCCTGAGACTGTGCCTTGGCCTCATCGATCACAAGCTGGGCAGTTCTCCGCTGCGTCTTGATGGACTGCAGGTACGACTTGCGCGTCTCGTCATCCATCGACTTCAACCGGGTCAAGTGTTCCAAAGGGTCATCGGCAATGTAGGCAACCTTCCTGTCCAAAAGCATCTTGGCATCCTCGGCATACAGCTCCAGCGGCAATCCTAGGAAGACATTCTGAGTGGGATTCTGCGGCATGGTGCCCGTGAAAACGGCGCAGATGCCATGCTGGCGGCGGATATACGTAACATCGTCAATGTCAAAGACGAGATACCGGCCGGCGATCTTGGAGATCCGCACTTGTCTGTCGTCCTCGGTTGATGCCATTGTGACTGTGTGTGAAAACGATGGAGTGCCTATTTTTCTCTTGGTTAGAAGCAGTTCGTGAAAAGAAAGCTTGCGTGTGTGAACAGGAGAAATGAATTGGCAAAAGGATCAGAAGCCTTGGACAGCCGTATTTATCATCACTATGAATCAGGGGATTGACAGATTGATACGTTTGTTGTTTCATCATAAAAGACCAACTGGGAAGTGTGCAAGAAAAGCTGTCTTGACTTACCAAAAATGCTGATGTTGGACACGACGGACACGAGGAAAGAAAGTGGAAAAGTTCTGGGCCGAGATGCGTGGGGTTTTATGCGCCGTGGCAGAAAACGGCGGAAATTTAGGCGGTGAGTCAACGACCCCACACATTTTCGTTGAGCTCCACCCCAGACGTCGCTGTAAGCCCGGAGTCTCTGGCGGGGCCTTCACCAATGGTTTCAGTGGACTTCAGCGTACCCAACACCTGGGCTGCTGAAGAGACAAAGTTTCAATGTGAGGATCAAGAAGCTCACCTGGACATGTGATGAGACTGTAATGGGGGTAGACAAACTCGGTTATTTGCAAAAACAAGCCGTTAAGCTGCCAAGCGGAAGGTGACTTTAGAAATCAAGCCCATCCTTCTTTGGAGCAGCCGAGGGTTTCTCCTCCTCATCCTCGAGCATAGGCGGGAGACTGTACGGCTTGATCACCAAGCCCCTGGATGCGCTCAAGCTGAATGACAGGTTCTCGCGGAAATTACCCGACTCTGCGCCTCCTCCACCCTTCTCGTGGTATACAGGCAGCGTGTATACTTTGAACAGACCCTGAGGTTGCTCGTTTGCCTTGGGATCCGACCCCGAAGGCGGCGGGGGTGCAGCACCAAGTCTGGCAGGTAGGGGGATGAGCTCGACGACGCCGTCACAAAGGATCTCTATCCACCGAACCAAACCCGAACTGCGAGGAAACAGTGACGTCGGGAAGGTGATGATTGCTGTGAGCTGTGAGCTATACTGTCGGAGGAGAGCCCGTAGCCCATGCAAGAACTGTAGAACCTCCGAGGGTTGGGCACATCCAGGAGGATAAAGGGTTGGTGACAGAAGACTGGGCACCACCAGTCTATGAATGGCATTTGGTCCTGAGGTCTCCAGCTTGGCCCGCAATTGCTTGAGAATAGTCTTTAGAGGCGAAGCTGTCCCAACACTCCTCCGTTCTAGACTTGGTGCACCGCCAACCGGAATCGGGTTCAGTGTACCCTTGGACTCGGAGCTTGCAAGCCTCTTGGTCAGATCGAAGGAGTGACAGAAAGGAGCTCCAGAATCCCCACGAGTAGAAGCTCCTGAAGTGGCATTGTTGCCCAGCGACTCGTATCTCCACGCGATCTTCATCTTCTCTTCTGGTGCCGGGGCTGGTGATGCAGTCTTTGACTTCTTGTCAGGGGAGGCCAAGCCTGGGAGCTGATGCCTCCATTCTGGTGGGAAGGCCACTGCGTGGACTTGGTGCCCTTGGACGAGACCCTCGGCAGCATAGTACCGTAGAAGGATACCAGAAAAATCGGTGGTTCCTTGCTCCTCAACCAGTAAGCATGTGCCCAGAGGAAGTCCACCGTGTCCTGCAAGAAGCTGGTCGAGAAAAGCAGTGCCAGTTGAAGTGGTCAACCTGCCATCTGTTGGTGATGGTCGAAGTCCCGGCGCAAGCTGTTTTTCCTGTTTCGGCTGTTGCTGCTGGGGAGTGGACGGCGTAAGTCCGGCTCTCGGTGAGGATAGGACGGTGTTTCTTTTGACGAAGGACATGGTTGATCCGGAAAGCTGCAGTCCTCAGTTCGGTATCGAACCCTTCGTATCGAATGCGAAACCTGATGTTGAGGTATTCTTCAAGTTCAGACACTGTCGATTTGAACCCTGGAGAAATTGGAAGCTTGGACGTCACTGGAGTGCCTGGAAGAGCCCCGCTGTACTTTTGTCACATACCGGACGCGACAGGGATTCTCGATAGTGGTTGCCCCACTACTTGCCCCGGCATCCTGGTCCAATTGCCGCGAGGCTGGAATTTTTTGGGACGGCAACTGCATGGCGGCATCTCCATCGCTCAGTCGCATCTCCAACTGAAAGTTTCCCAAAACACCTTCAATACCATCCGCGACAACCCGTTTTCCGACCGATTAAAACGAGCTAGATTCTCGACAGAAGTGCAACTTCAACCCAGCATTCAATATCCGACATCCATCGTTTCGTCGAATCGACACCAGCATCCACAATGTCCGCCCTCACTTCCGACGCCCAACTCTACGAGGACGAGTTCAAGGTCGAAAGGATCAGCGATCCCAAGTACGACCGCGTCGACCGTCTCTACTGCACCTCCGTCGATGGTCAGACCAGCATGCAGCTCGACATCAACAAGGAGCTCTTCCCGGTTAAGGTCGGCGAGTACCTCAGAATCGCGCTGGCGACTTCCTTGTCCCTCGACGGAAGCAAGGACGACGAGAGAGGCTGGCGCGATGCTGCCAAGCTCGGCAGCGTTGAGCAGACCCTGGCCGACAGCTATGAGTATGTCTGCCACGGCAAGGTCTACAAGTTCGAGGACGGAAAGGATGGACAGACCATGTAAGTTGTTGCCTTGGAGTTGGGAGGGAACATTTCGACCCCGGAGTTGAGGAAGAACGAGTGGCTGACTGGTTCGGTTGCGAAATCTAGCAAGGCGTATATGTCCTACGGTGGACTTTTGATGGCGCTCGACGGCCCCTACAAGAAGCTCACGCCCCTGCGTGTCGACTACGTCTACCTCCTCGCCAGCAGGAACGCTTGAGAGCCAGGTTTCCTTCATTTTCCGGAGATAAAAAGCAAATGTTTTCAGCGGCAGAACAGCATTAGACCGATTAAGAGTCTAGGGCGCGAGCAATTTTCATTGGACCTTTGGAGGGCGGGCGTTTTAGGTTATGCGTGGACCAAAAAAGCATCTCCTGGGGACAAAGGGGTCTTTGGAGAGTAATGAATCAAACGATACCCGGAAGCAAGTACCTGTATTTATGCCGCTACCGAGCCAAGGGTTGTCCTTTCTTCCTTTGAGAGCTAGTGCTCTGCGGGAGGCGCTGGATGGATTCAGGCCTGATGAGGACCGGGAAAGGCGATATGTCGATGAGCCCGGTCGCGGAATGCGTCGTAGTGCGGCTCGTTTTCAGGCGTGTAAATGCCGTGCCGAAGGAAGAAATCGAGCATGACGACTGCACAGTTCGGTTTCCACAGTCCCTGGGCGAGCTGTTCCTGGATCTCCTCCACCGTGCGCAAGCTGAAGCTCTCGACCTCGCCGTCCTTGGGCTCGGGGACGACACTTCCATCCGCAGGTAGCTCTAGATCATAAACCCACTGGCATTCCGGGTAGATCAACCCAGCTTCGCCTCCCGCGCGCTCGTCCGTGATGTAGATGTACGTGATGGTGCAGACCTCTTTGGCGTTCTTCCTCACCACATGCTCGGGCAGTGATGCCTCTTCGTCCGCCTCACGGATCACGCACTCGAACGGGTCTTCGTTGGTCATCAAGCCGCCCGCTACCGCGTTGTCCAGCATGCTCGGATAGGTCGACTTGGTCGGGGACCGCCTGGGAACCCAGATTCTAAAGTCATACTTGCTGCTGGCGTCCTGGCGTCTGATGAAGGCGTTCATATGCACGCCGTAGCGTGTGGTTCCAAAGAGGCCCATAGCTGCCCGCTCCATGCTGAACACGAGCTCCTTGTTGCGACCATAAACTGGCCACAGCTCATTCCGCCAGCTTTTAAGGATGGGAAAGGCCTTCTGTTCGCGCCAAAGTGCAGTAAGCTCTCCGACAAGCCGAGTGCGTTCCTCGTAGGTTTTGTCCGGGGCGTCACGGAAGAGCACCACAGTCCTATTAGAGACATCGATGTGCAACCCTAACTGCCCTTTGAGATTTGCTGGGGCTTGGTTGAGCGCATCGACAACGTCCAACTTCATGTAGCCAATGGGTATCTGGCCCTGTTGATCTTCCCAGACGAACGTGTAGAAAGACTTCATGATCTGGGCATATGCCTCGGGATCCCTGTCCGCGTAAGGGAAGCTTGATTTATAGAGAATATGTAAGCGCTCGTTCTCGTCATGTACAGAATCCCGGTGGGCCTCAGATTTGTTTCACTGAATCCCATTTATGTTTCCGACTGTGATCACAGAGGATTCGGCTTCACAGAAAAAAGATACGTACGCATCGACTTTAGCCACCAGGTCGAGGGTGGACAACCGAGGAGTCATGGTTGGGGAATGGGTTCGTGAGACCTTGGATAATATGGCGTGGGACACACGGGATCGAGTGATGCAAAATGAAGTCGAAAGCCTGGATTCCTGGTGTGGCAGGCCCTGAAAGTTGAGTTGGGCTTGAGAGGCACAACTGAGAGGATATTGTCAAGGGAAAGAGAGCGTGGGGGAAACAGAAATTGGCGTGCGCTAATCTCGTGTCATTCATAAGCCCAATTGAAGACCTTCGGGGATTGGGAGGGGAGGGACATGAACAGCATCTCGAACTAGAGACAGCATCAGTTGGGCAGTTTTTTCACGAAGTACTGTTCCGATGCAGATGATTCCAACAGATTCAATTTAGAGTTTACAAACGCATGTGGATTGATCCCACATCGTCGTTTCTTCAAACAGCTCAGATGGCGAGATTCAGGATGGAACGTGTGGAAGGATCGAGGTACAAAAAGACCCTGTCGTTCAGGCGCTTTTTAGCGGGGGAAAGAGCTATTTACAGTACAGGGGCAGCACTCACAGCAAGAAAGGAACAATCCTCATCGGAAGCCATTCGTCAAGGACTCGGCAAAGTATGCCACTGTTTCCCAAGATAGAGATGGCGTGGTGGAATTCCAGGGTCCATCTGTTGAAGCCTCAACTTTTGTTATCGAGGACTCTAGAATCCTCTCTGTGGTGGTTCCAGGACCCAATGATTTTCTGAACTGCCCGCAGCCCAAGCTCGTCACAAGGAAGCATCCGAGACGGGAGACCCACACCAGCTTGATATCTCACCATCACATCACCAGCTTCGATGAGAGTGCAAAAACAAATATTAGACAACTATCGGGGAGAAATCCCAAGTATAAGTTAACTACTAGTCTTGCAATAGGAACAATCATGAAACTATCCCCCTTTCCTCTCTTAAAGCCATTGATGTTTGTGCGCAAAGAACACCTTACCTTGCTGCCAGCTCATTGTTTGACCCCACATATTACCGCATTATAAACGCTTCGGCCGCTCCACGTCCGGAAAACAACTGAAATTCGAGGACAAAGCGGCATCTTCGAGAAAACAACAAACGGAATCGGTCATTTACCTCGAGTCCAGGTCTTTGTCTGGAAAAAAATTGGCACTAACAGCTTCACACGCTACGACCGCAAGTTCAGATTTGTGGTCTTTCGTCTTTCACGACCGAAGCTCAGCCCACGGTCTTGCGAATACAACAGTACCTTGAAGGACCTCATCGATAGGTATCCTATCTCATCCGATATATATCAGAGGCAACAACCAGCAAAATCACCAACCCGAGAGAGATACCGAACAAATCCCCATAACGACAGCCGTGAGCTCTGTCAAGCAACACCAAGCTTTCATCATCAACTACACCACGAGGGTACCCAACAGCAACAGGCGATCAACACCACCGCCAAACCCCTTCTCTAATCACACCACCCACCACCAAATCACAAAAAATGTCCCAACCCCTCTTCGGCCTCGTCCCCGCCGGCCAACCCGTAATAATCACCCCCACCGAAGCTCCCAGTCCCACCTCCTTCCTGTACGCCATCCCACCCACCAACCCGAACTCTCCCCCCGGTTCCGCCATCTCCAAGCCCTTTGGGCACGTCGTCGTCTTTCTTTTGCCTGGTGTAGTCCTCCCCCCGGGGACCGCAGCAGCCATTTACCTCGTCACCCCGCCCTCTCCAGCGCTGGGGCAGACGACACCCAACTTTAAATTTTTGGGAGGGATTGGGCCGGGGAAGGAGAGTGCTATTTTCAAGGTTGGACCTGGGGCAGGGACAACAGGGCCGGGAAGCAAGAACGTGGTGATTGGGGTTTCGGTTGAGGATGCGGAGAGTGTGGCTAGTAGGATGGCTTCGTTGGGGACAACAACACCTGCAGCAGCAACAAGTGGTAATGGAACAGAAGGGGCGTTGGTACCTGTTTCGGCAGAGCGGCAGCAGCCGAGCACGCTGGTGTTGGCGCAGAGGATCATCAAGAATGCGTTTAACTTTCTATCGAGCTATACCGGGTCGACGCCAGGGCAGATGGAGGTGGTGCCGCTGAAGGCGTTTGAGGAGTGGTGGAAGAAGTTTGAGAGTAAGGTGAGGACGGATCCGGGGTTTTTGGAGAGGGATGACGATCAATGAGTGACGAGCGGCCGAGTGCTTGGGAGACGTTCCCGGGGGAGAATAGTGGGAAAGAAGTCGTTCCTTCCTGGCTGATGGGCAGGGTTGGTTTGCGGACACAGGAAAGAGTTCGTGGTTGGATATATCTTAGATGCTTGAGGAGGCAAACATACCCAGGTGTGAGAACAATGGACAAGGAAACAATGATATAGAGAGATGTCGAAATGTCCGTGAGTAAGAATGAGGTATTGATATAGAGAGATGTCGAAATGTCCGTGAGTAAGAATGAGGTATCTTGTTCCAAAAGTTTGTAATAAAGCCGTACTAGCTAGCTGCTGGCATTGAGAAAGAATGAAGAATAAAAATGTACTGAGAAAGCCCATCGCTCAGATGGACTTGAAGACCACCCGTATCGTCGTCATCATACAAAAATCGTTGGACGACATGTCCGTAAACTTCCTAGAAGAACAACTATCCATCACCAAGAAAGTACCATATACAGAGGTAAAAAGGTTGAAATGCAAAACCCATAACACGTCCGCCAACGCCGTTCCCCATGACAAATCGTTCAACCAACCACAAAGCGACCTTGCAAAGGCGACATCAAAGGACTTTTCAGCCTCGTGGGACTACCAGCCCGGCTCCTCCTCCCCTGTAGACTCATAGTCGTTGTCGTGGGCGTCAACCCCAGCCGTTCTCGACTATCCGTCCTGACCACCAAGCCCGCCCTATCGAGCGCCGAGCCGCCAGGCGTCATTACTCCATTGCCGCCGCCAAGATCAGCAAACCGGCTATCCAGGTTAAGCTTGGGCGTTGCTAACCCCGACGTGATCCCGAGCTTAGACTGTCCACCTCCACTAGAGCTGCTGTCGCTGGAGTCGGAGTAGAAGCCGTTGAGATCGTTGTTATGGTCGAAGTAGGAAGATGCCGAGGAGTTGCGGAAGTGGGAGTCGTTGAGTTCGAACTCATCGGCCCCGCCTTCCTCCAGAACGCGCTCATAAGAGCCCGAAGAGAGGGAGCGGCGGCCAAAAAGCTTGTTTTTCAGGCTGGAGAGGGGACCACTGCTGTGGCCAGACGAGGACACCTTGCCGAAACGGCCGGAACGGCGGGGCTTATGGAAGAGGTTGTTAACACGGCCATAGAAGCGCATGCGCCTGTCCTTCTTGCGGAAGAAGAAGAGAAGGGCGAGGAAGATGAGGAAGACGATGAGAAGACTGTGAGTGGTCTTGGCTTTTGTCTTGCCAAGAAGATTCTCGGCTTCCAGATCCCAGTCACTGCCATCGTCAGCAGTCCCATTGACGGCCGGGTGGTAGGGAGAGTCGTTGTGGCTGGCTCCGCCGCTGAGAGGTGTCCATGTCGAACCTGCGTACTGGAAATCAGGTGGCAGCGCTGTTGCACCGGCAGAAGGGATGTTGGTACCGAAACCGACAGGATACCTGTCGTCACCGGTCTTGGGAGGTATTTGTCCTGCCGCGTAGAGAACCATCTTGCCGAGTGTCCAGCTAACTTCAATGCCATCGATCTTGTCCACGGGATGGAACGGGTCTAAGAAACCCTTTTGCTTGGCCTTTTCGATGGCGCCCTTGGAGGCATTGAGGCCCGGCTCAGGAAGGTCTTCGACACCAATACGAGGAACACCAATACCCTCATGTAGGATGTTTATGAGCCAGGACGCTTTGAAACAGGCCTCTTGCGCATCCTTGACCGCAAACTTCTTGTGGGTATCAAGGCCTGGTTCGATGCTGTTCCAATCCCGGCCGCAGAAGTCCTTGACGCGCTTTTGGTATGTGATGAAATCGTATGCTTCATCGTCTTTACCACCAAAGACACCGTGTGTGGTGTGCCAGTATTCGGAGACTCCAACAAAGTGATTGACATCAAAGTCAATGGCCGGGACGTGCTGGCCATTGATCAAACAAGGGTCATCTGCACATGGTTTGTCCTTGCCGAGCAGGGGATAGGTCTTCCTAAGGCATTCGTCGAAAGCGCCTGTGCCAATGAGACTGGTCTCGCCCTTCTGCGGTTTTTGAACTGGAGTCCCATCCAGTGACATCCTGAGCCCTTTCGGTAGACACGGATCGGGGAGTTCGCCGACATCGGAAGTCGTGTATAATTCTCTGAGGCTTTGAACATACGCCTCCCGCGCCCGGTTGACGCCGAAACCAAGCCATGTCGTCGTAAACACTTTGTATTCGGCTGACGATCCATCGAGGGTTCGTAGTCGTAAGAGCTTCAAATCGTTCGCGTGCTTTTCGGCTTCTGTTGAATTAGGTGCGAATGCGATTTGCGCTGATGCGCCTCCCATGTCCAAGAACCCATATGTGTGATGACCCTTTCCATGCGCATGTTGCTCTGGATGATCGAAACCCCCCAGGAGATAGTTAGACGCAATCCACCCGTACAATCCCTCGGTTTCGCCCGGGATAACCTGAATATGAAGGTCGCAATCCGGAAGTGCGAATTTCGTGTTCTTGCGCAGGTATGAGCAGACAGCGCCGGTTATGGCATTTTGTTGGACCTGGGGAAGAAGGCGCATGCCAGCCGTGGCCATTAAAAATATCGGAGTGTCGTGGATCTTGTCCGCGGGTATAATGTCGAGCGCATGGTCGATGAGTTCCTTCAGATAATCTTCGCCGACTACCCCAGCCTTCTCGCCAAATGTCGATATTCCAGGTCTGATCTTCTTGGTCCACTTCTTTTTCGTCGTGATCTTGGGCAGACTGCGCAACTCCTCGGGCGACGCATGCTCAAGCGCCTTCTCGGGATCCTTCCAACGATATATGTGTAGTCGTGTCCCCGAGGACCCGGCGTCCAAGATAACACCCCATCGCCCTGTCATTGTTCAGTGTCGCGATCTTGGAGACCTGAGGGTTTGCGAGTAGACGTACAGTTCTTGTCTTTCCCCATCGGCAAGAGGTAAGAAGTAGGCGATAGAGCTGGTAGTAACTGATGCGAATCAAGTCGGCCAAGGCACAGCTGTTTCGGTTCGGCGGGGCTTGTTTAAGTTATCGTCGACAATGGCGTAATAGGGGAATTAGTGTTGTGTTGGCATCAACAACCTGGAACTGTTGCAGAATCGCAGTGGAGACGGGACGAATTGATCGACGATAGGAAGGCGGGAAGGTGGAATTACCGGCCGCAAAACGAATGGACAGGCACTATGGGGGAATTAAAAGTATACAATATGGTAGGTAGGCAGCCGGGACCGTCGGAAGAACGAGAGTAGGGTGGTTTTGGGAAACGTGAAATGACCAGGTGCGAAGCGAGAGAAAACTAGCCCGAAAGCTGAGTGAGGTGAGATTCTGGAGGAGGACGGGAAAGATTGTCGTGGTTCCAATTCCTGGGTGGACAATGTGGGCCAGAATGGAATGTTTGGAGGGTTTTTGCAGGGACCGTGGGGGTCTGATAAGGAGAAGTTCAGGGGAAAGAGGGGACCACGCCACGCCGGGGGGCGTCGCTGAACGCGGCACTGTGCAGTCGTATCGTGGTGGTACCACGCCCGCCTTCGGACGACTTTCCTTTGGTGGCGTTCGTAATGGTGTAATTTACGGACCGGAACGAACGCCGGTAATAACACGACATTACTATACCTTTTTACACACTAGGATGGTCATGTCATGTTACCTCTAGTACAAGTAAATCCACGAACTATATCCACGACAGTTGCCTTCAGACAATGTTATAAGATTCACCGGACACGAAAAGAAAACAGATTCAATGGTGCGTTCAGGTGTATGTGTACCTCAACTAGTTGGAACTGCGGTTCATGATCAGTCACACCTTTGGCCATGTCTGCCCTGCTTTGAGCATGCCATCCAATGCTGCCATGAAAGAAACGATACGCGTAATCTCCCCGCATCCTGTTTCCATTTTCAGAAACAGACGATCATTGAGGCGAAGAACGTGGAAGCTTCTCACACCCCGCGGTTTGTGGTGTTTCGGCAGTCAACCTCAGAGGAGAGCTCTGCCTATCAATTGCAAGTCTCCTTGGACGCCATTCGTCCATTACACTGCGATCTGCCAGCTGAGTTTCAGCACAAGAGCGCTCACTCAGCCCGTCAAACCATGACAGGCATCTCGAAACTGCTCCTCGCCGGAACATAACCATCACAGTGTGGAGTGTCGCAGCCAGCCGCCGACCCTCTAAACGCGGTTCTGTTGGTACTGAAAAGCCTGGCTATTGATCGGTGCCCTCCATCAATCCTACCCTACGTATGGGCTTTCGGGAAGAACGAGGTGGATGGCAGCTCGACCTCCATCATCAGAAGCCGGTCTTCTGGTCGACAAATCGTGCAGAATCGTAGAGGTACTCTAAGATCATGAACGGTCAGACCATAAAATTCCACGTGCTTCTCCCTTTTTTTGGTGGTTGATGGACTTACAGGTTTGAATACGAGTATTTCCCATTCGCGTAAAGCTAAAAATACATTGCCACGCCGAGCTCATAATCACCCAACGGTCTCGTTCAGACAATCCACAAGCACTCGGTTGGCGCTCTTGGAAGCCTGAATGCCCTTTTCGACCAGCTGCGTATAAACGTCCATATCGGACGCAGGTAGGTCACCCTTGAACCAAAGGTTCGTGACCTCTTGTCGTGTGGGGAGATATGCGATGCAGCATGCTGCGAGGACCTTGTCATGCTCAGAGGGAATCGGGTCAACAACTATGCTGGGAGCAGCATCGTCACCTGCATCCTGAACCAAGGCGGCAACACCTCCGGCAACAGTATCGACGCAGTCAATGCCAGCATCAGCAAGTGCAGCCGAGGCAACGGTAATGCAGCCACTCAAGGCATTCATGGTGTCCCATGCCTCAATGCCCTGGGCCTTGGACGTCTCGCGATCTTGCTCTCCTTCGACAATGGAGATGATGATATCCACACCACTCTTTGGCCAACGGTCAGCAATGATAGATCCCCGAAGAGCCGCCTCAAGGTGGGTGCCGAGATCTCTCTCGATCGGGTCACGAATGTAACCACGCCTTTGCTTGGTCGCAAAGGGCGCGAACTTGACATGGGTGGACAAGATGATGTGAGGAGAAAAAGGCGTTGACCTGGGCAAGGCTCTAGGTCCATGAACACTACAACTGAGCTTCAGGCCGGAGCCGCCATTTCCAGACGATTCAATCTCTAGGTAAGCAGAGCCAGAGGCCGAAGGTGTCACTCCCGTCTTGAGATCTAAAGGTGAGGTTAGATTGTGTTCCTGAGAGAGAAAGAGCATGCCCTCATGGCGCTTACACATTTTGCGAATTACGTTCGCCGGGCGTGACCTTGTGGCCCTGGCAACTTCAGATTTCTTCTCGGAAGCATCGTCATAGATGGGAGGGATGGTGGTCCCAACCGGTCCGTTAATACGTCTTCTGTCGGCCATGTTGGAGCCAGGATTTGAGGGCCGGAAATTTGTTGAACTTGGTGAATTGCTGTGATGTCCGTGACGCTCTCCTAATCGGAAACTCCTGAGTTTTTTGAGGGAAAAGGGACCTCGTTCGTGTATGGCTTTCCTTGTTCACAGTTGTGTTGATGACTTCTGTTGGTTCCTCTGTTGAAAATGAGACCTGAGAGTCGCCGTCTACAGTGGGTCCACTCTCAAATTCAAGAAGTTGTGGCGCAACCTCACATTCACTGTCGCTTTTGACCACTCAGCCACAGGCCCCACCCAAAACCCGCGTCAAAGCCACCAATGGAGGAATTTTTTGCGCAGCTACAAAACTCTGCCGACTTCAGTTTCCAACCTCATCTTGAACTCTTCCACCAACCCACACCATTCACAACGACAGGAACGGCTTGCGATTGTTGGCATTGGATCAATGCCTTCACTTCATATGGCCACTGTCTTTGGGGAGCAACCATGATACCATATTCTTACGATGATCATGGTTGCTTTGGTTGGGCTGCCTTCTGCGCTGGTGCAGCAATGGCATGGTCATGTCAGCTGCTCATGCATCCTCTTGGTTATTGTGCGATGGCGAACCCCATTGCTTGAGAGGATGTTCTGGCTGTCTGATATGGCCGACGTTGGTTCGCACGGATAGAGTAAGTTTATTCCCCCTTGCCTTTCACATCTCATGATGATCCCATAACCACAGTTCTCGCGATATTCTATGAGCGATCGAACAACATGCACTACCATCTGACTACTCACTCAACACATTCTTCACTTGCAACACATTTGGAGGAACCGTTGACTAACAATCAATAGTACAGACAAAGCTGTCATGTCACCGTCGCTGTTCCACCTCGTTTTCTCGGTCTCTACCCACTAGGTAAGCATTACATTGCTTTTTACCTTCACCATCACCAACCCGATTGTCCATGATGAAACAAAATATTTTCAGTTCTGCTTCTGAATAATAATGAGCGATAACCAATTATACCAAAAACTTCTGATATGGCAATCACCCCAACCCTTTCTTGCAACCACAACTCTTTCACACTCGTTGCGAGCAAGTTGGCTAACAAACTTAAAGTCGTTTAGGATCTGAAAATGGCCTTGCGTCTAGTGGGAGAGTCGACATGCCCATCTGGTAGGTGCTTTGTCTTTTTCCTTCTGTCCCATGCACAATGATGACAACAGTCTATCCATTCAACGATATGTACGGGCCGAGCCATCCATCCGCACTGGAGCGTCCTTCGGGACGTGATGACTAGTTGTGGTGTTTCCCTTCGGGGTGTCATTTGGCTTCCGTTGTCCGATGCTCCTGCGCACCGTTTTGGGGTGTGGGAGACTTGGGCCGGCTTTGTAGGGCTGAGTTAAAACGGCTTGTCTGATCTGTGTCGTCTTCGCCTTCTGCTTGATGCCGATTCGCGTATGACCATGAACTGACCGGTCAGTAGTTGATAGCGCGAACGTTTCAAACGTTTAGTTGCAACACATCTTTGACGAGGTAAGATTTGTGTTCATGACTCGACATTTCTTTATGACCCCAGTAAAAATGGATGTAGTGGAGGATCGACGGGTCTACCTGTCCTTGACATTTACACCAAGGCCTTAGGATGTCAGAAGCAAGATAGAACAATGAAAACAAGAGTTGCAAAATGTTTGATTATTTCAAGTCATACCAAAGGCATTGCTCATGATGATGTGCAAGGAAGTTCAAAACCAGCAGAATGAATGACCAGTTACCGCGATGAAAGCCCGGTTCCCTTCCAAATCGTCTGTGTCTTGAGGTTGAAAATAACATTGGAAGACGCACCCTGAGGTATTTGTATTGTACAGAAATGACGACTGCGGTACAGACTCAACAGTACTTCGATTGCCACTGTTTCAGGTTGACTTTGCCAGCAATTCTAGAGTCTTGGCGACGGCGACTCTAAATCTTGTAGAGCTCCTGAAACCAAGGCGCCAAGTCTGGGGTCATTTTGGGATGGGTGCAATTGCGGTACAATTGGGCAGGACCCCGTCGAACGGCCGGGCCATTTTGCGACGCCATTGGTAAAGAAATCCCACCCGCCAATCTTACCTGGACTGGTACTTAGTACGTGTATCCGTCAAGCTGCCCACAGCCCGGTGCGAACACCTCAGCTTTTTCAAACGTCTTGGTGCTACGGGGAACGCGATCGTCTTGATCTTCCGCCCAAACTTCTCTCTGACCACGATGCATTGATCCCGAATCGGCCTGGTCCACTCTCCATCCATTTCGACAGAGTTTCGACAGCGCGTGCGTCGACAATATCCAGCGAGCGACCGCCCAGTCTGCAGCATCCGTTAGCTTTTCCGGTTTACAGGACTCAGGTACCCTGCGCGCGCAAAGGGGGGTTGAGGTGCTCGATAATATTGGCCGCCCCTGCAGCGACCATCTATCATGCTGCCATACGCATCTTCCTCCGGGTCCAAGGCGGTCCCTCGACACCATGCGAGCGGATATTCCAATGGGTATCCGCGAGGAAACACATTCGAGATCTCTCCTCACAGGTAAAGTGCCTTGGCGTGTTCGCGCCCCCGGAGCCCCTGAATCACCAAAACGAACAATGGAAGCTGACGGGAATCATTCCACAGATTCCAACCTCGAGGCGCGGCACCACCATTTCGAAGACGGAAGGGACTATTCGTGCGATTGGCAATAGCGCTGGTATCATTACTCCTCTTCGGGCTGTTCGTTTGGCCCGGCGATTCGGGGTCGTTCTCCTGGCTCGGCTCCGGTTCCGAAGATTTCCAACTCGAGACGGTGCGATACTACGACCTGTCTAACGTCCAGGGCACCGCGAAAGGATGGGAGAGAGAGGAGCGAATTCTTATCTGCGTGCCGCTGCGCGATGCCGAAGCGCATATGCCCATGTTCTTCGGCCACCTCCTCAACCTTACGTATCCTCACCATCTGATCGATCTCGCTTTCCTCGTTTCGGACTCGAAAGACAACACCTTGGCGGTTCTTGAACGGGAGCTCAAGGCTATTCAAGCCAGCGCCGACCCGTCCAAGCACTTTGGCGAAATCTCCATCATTGAGAAAGACTTTGGACAGAAGGTTAATCAGGATGTGGAAAGCCGTCACGGTTTCGCCGCGCAGGCGAGCAGAAGAAAGCTCATGGCCCAAGCCAGAAACTGGCTTCTCAGCGCTGCCCTCCGGCCGTATCATTCGTGGGTCTACTGGCGTGATGTCGACGTGGAGACTTGCCCTACCACGATCTTGGAGGATCTGATGCGCCACAACAAGGATGTGATCGTGCCAAGTAAGCCCACTCAACCCTCACCTGATATTCGAGAGAGGACCGGAAATGCTAACAGGACTTTAGATGTTTGGCGCCCGCTACCTGACTGGCTGGGCGGAGAACAGCCCTACGATCTCAACTCCTGGGCCGAGTCCGAAACCGCCCTCGCACTCGCAGATACCCTCGACGAAGATGCAGTTATCGTGGAGGGATACGCAGAATATGCTACCTGGCGTCCCCATCTCGCGTATCTCCGAGACCCCTATGGCGATCCCGACATGGAAATGGAGATCGACGGCGTTGGTGGAGTGAGTATTCTGGCAAAGGCCAAGGTTTTCCGTTACGGCGTCCACTTCCCGGCGTTCAGCTTTGAAAAACATGCCGAGACAGAGGCTTTTGGAAAGGTAAGCTCGTCAGGCCTTCCCGCGCCTTTGGATTGGTCTAACCACTATGACCACAGATGTCGAGGAGGATGGGCTTCTCAGTTGTTGGCCTCCCTCATTATACTATCTGGCATTTGTACGAGCCTAGTGTAGACGATATCAAGCACATGGAGGTAAGCAATCACGCATCTGGGTATGTAAGTTTGACAGGTCACTAACAGTCGGCAGCAAATGGAGCAGGAGAGAATCGCTCGCGAGAAGGAGGAAAAGGAGAAAGCGATGAAGGAGCAGAAGATGAAG